TAATAGAGTGGACAGTGAGTGGACGCAGTGTTTAAAAACTCCAGCAGCACTGCTGTGTCTGATCCACTCGTACCAGCACAACACACACTAACACACCACCACCACGTCAGTGTTACTGCAGTGCTGAGAATGATCCACCACCCAAATAGTACCTGCTCTGTGAGGGTCCATGGGGGTCCTGACCACTGAAGAACAGGGTAAAAGGGGGCTAACAAAGTATCAGAGAAACAGATGGACTACAGTCTGTAACTGTAGAACTACAAAGTGCACCTATATAGTAAGTGGAGCTGATAAAATGGACAATGAGCGTAGAAACAAGGAGGTGGTCATAATGTAATGGCTGACCGGTGTATGTTCAGCGAGAGAGCTGTAAAGTGCTTTATTTTGCTTTTAGCTTTGCTTTCAAAGCAGGAAAAAAGGTGTTTAATGGTCTGTATTTGTACCTCAGTGGACGTGTACATGTTGATCAGCATTTAGAGGCTGTAATAACATCAGACTCGTCTGAAACGTAAATAAACTACAGCTTGTCCAGCAGTGTAATATTATATGTATCAGCAGCTGCAGCTTTATTACTGTTACCGACTCTCTCTGTGACCCGATTCCAACCCAAATATCCACATTTCTATATTGTACAGTACTGTTCTAAAGGATTTGGTGCAAAAGGCTCTGAGAAAGTGCTCTGTAAAGCCATTTATATAGTTTATAAGAGCTTATTTAATATTAGAATAAGGACAAATAAACAAATAAACAATCCATTAATTGCTTAGTATGTGAGAGTGATCTTAACTTTTTCCAGATCTCTGCTGGAGGAAGTCCAGTGTTTACAGTTACCACCCAGTACCTGCTTTATCTAATCAATCCTTCATTAAAGTAAATCAGATAGAACTAAACAAATTCATGTGATGACTGGAGAACAGAGAGACATCAGGAACCAAACCTGAGATCTTCTAACCTACATATTCACTTTACTGACAAACACATTCTGACTACTGCACTGCAAAAAATAATATCAAGTGTAAACATCTTAAATGTAGTCAGTAAATCTAATATCTCTCATTATGAGTCTGTTGTAAGAATATTATAAGATTATTCCACCTGTTTCTGTACATTTTTACTTGTTTTCAGTGATTTTATCTGGTGAAAGTGTCTTATTCCATTGGCAGATTAGTTTACTTGTTTTGAGAAATAATGAAGGTAATTTTGCTCATTTCAAAAAAATAATGATTAAAACAAGTAACATGATCTGCCAATGAAATAAGACACTTTTATGAGATAAAACTGCTTAAAAACAGTAAAAATGTCTAGAATTAAGTTCAGTAATCTCACAATATTCTTACAACAGTCTCATAATGAGAAATACTAGATATACTGACTACATTTAAGATGATTACCCTCACTAAGGCATCATTTTTGCAGTGTGACTCCTGTATATATGCCTATTTGTATTGGTTCTAATGTTATATGGTGGCACACTGGCGCAGCAGGTAGCGCTGTCACCTCAAAGAAAGATCTCTCTCTGGGTTTGATGCCCTGGCCGGGTGCCCCAGCTCTGGGTTTGATGCCCTGGCCGGGTGACCAGGGTCCTTTCTGTGTGGAGTTTGCAAGTTCTCCTTGTGTCCATTTCCCCATGCTTAAATGGTTCTTTGCATGCTTAAACAGTTCTTTGCCTTCACTAAAGAACCCTTGAAGAACCATCTTTTTTAAGCATGCATGTCAAAATAATTAGCTGTTAAATTTCAGAGACACTCTTAAAAACAATGTTTCTTCAAGGGTTATTTAGGAAAGAAAATGGTTCTATATAGAACCATGTACACTCAAAAAATTGTATGATTAAAGTGTTCTTTGCATTGCAAAAGTGTTCTTCAGATTGATAGAGAATGTGTGGTATATGGTTCTATATAGAACCTTTTTAAAAGGGGTCTGTTATTGTTACGATACATGCTTATTGCAGTAGAAGAACCCCTTTTCCTGCTATACAGAGCCCTTTTCAAAAAATGTCTATATAGAACCATCTAGAGCACTTTCTTCATCAGTCTGGAGTCTTATGATGCAGAGAACCATTTTCTTTACTAAAGAACCCTTAAAGAACCATCTTTAAGTGTAAATGAGTGTAAGTCATTATTTGAAGCTAGTAAGACAGTGTTTTGAGAAAGTAATTATGTTGAGATGTTCTCCCCGTGTCTGTGTGGGTTTCCTTTGGGTGGTCCAGTTTCCTCCCACAGTCCAAAGACATGCAGGGATGCTAAATTGCCCCTCGGTGTGAGTGTGTGTGTTTATCTGCCCTGTGATGGATTGGCAGCCTGTCCAGGGTGTTTCTTGCCTGCGGGGGTTGGGGGGAGGTGGGGGGGCTGGGGGTGTGTACAAATGTACTGCCCAGGCAAACCATTTTAATCAGATATCTTAGCTGCCTCAAACTTATGCACAGTGCTATGGAAGACTGTTCCTACCAAGTAGAGGAGAAACAGTGACTCACACAAGATTGTTATGCATTGTAAATAGAAGCTGGTGCTTCCAAAATAAATTGAAAAAAAAAAAAGAAAAACGACAAAAATTGAGATTTAATGTAAAGCCAATTAGGTATTAATATGTTGTTGCTATTCATTTTGCAACAAAGTACAAATCAGATATTCTGCAAATGCAGCTTTGTCCTATACTTAATTAGGCTTTGCCACCCGTCGCTGTGCTCTTGCCCCCCTTTGTTTAATTACTCTTGTCCGTAACTGGTCAGTTTGGAAGATGTTTATGTAAGTTATGAAATAAACAGCTTACATACACTCTCAGGAATAAAGGTAGGAAACTGTCTCTGGGTCAGTCCCCCTCCTGTCACTGGGGTGGTTCCCTCAAGGGTCCATCTCAGTACCTTTAGTCAGGGAACATAACTGAACCATAATCCACTGAAATGATATGTTCTAAGCTGTACTGACTCCACACACCACGTCTCGCCTCCAGGCTTTTATTTTACTGTTCTGTTTTAAATCATTCGGTTATGAAAAGGTACAAATACAAACTTTTCACCTGGAAAAACTTATTTAAGGTTCACAATCAGACCTTAAAACCACTGTTGGAGCTTTGAGGGAACATTTACACTGTTTGTACCTTGATGAACGTAAAATGTACCTGAACAGAACCTTTATTTCTAATTGTGTATTACGAAAAAAGGAGAGGGCCTAAAATGGAGCCTTGCGGAACCCCAGGTATTGTATTCCCAGATGCAGAGGAGTATCTCCCAGCATTAACTGAGAAGATCCTGTGTTTTAATATTGGAGATAAACCATTTAAGAGTCAAACTCGTGACTCCAGCACAGTGTTCCAAACACTCCTTAGGCCTCATTCTCCAGTATCTTCCTGAGTTTGTTCTTAAATGTGTTCTTGAGTGTCTACGTCAGATTCATGACGTGTTCTTAAAGCGCAGAACTGTTCTCACCTTTGTGTTCTTGAGTGTGTGTAGACTCTTTTCTTACCTACACTCTCAGAAAAGGTACTAAACTGTCACTGGGTCAGTTCCCCTCTGGTCACTGGGGTGGTTCCCTCAAGGGTCCATCTCAGTACCTTTAGTCAGGGAACATAACTGAACCATAATCCACTGAATGATATGTTCTAAGCTGTACTGACTCCACACACCCCGTCTCGTCTCCAGGCTTTTATTTTACTGTTCTGTTTAAAACATTCGGTTATGAAAAGATACAAATACCAACTTTTCACCTGGAAAAACTTATTTAAGGTTCACAATCAGACCTTAAAACCACTGTTGGAGCTTTGAAGGAACATTTACACTGTTTGTACCTTGATGAACAAAAACCATTTACATCAGATATCCTGGCTGCCTCAAACGTTTGCACAGTCCTATGGAAGCCTGTTATGACCAAGTAGAGGAGAAACAGTGACTTATTGTGACTACATCATAAAATGACTTATTTTCTCAACACACTGACTCAGTATCTCAAAGTAGTGACTTACTTTGTGATTAATACACACTTAAAAAAGATGGTTCTTTAAGGATAATTCAGTAAAAGCAATGGTTCTATTTAGAACCACAGGTTCTCTATAGAACCTTTTAGAAAAAGGTCTGGTCTGTATCAACAAACAGTGTTCTGCTATTGTTAGGATGTCAAGCTTGCAACATAAGAAGAACCTTTTTGGCACCATATAGAACCATTCTCAACAAGGTTCTATATAGAACCATATAAAACACATTCTCCCGCAATCTGAAGAACTATTTCACAATGCTTAAATGGTTCTTTGCCTTTAGTAAAGAACCCTTAAAGAACCATCTTTTTTGTGTGCATGTCAAAATAATTAGTTTCAAATACACTCGCAAAAAGATGGTTCTTCAAGGGTTCTTTTGTAACGAAAATGGTTCTGTAAAGAACTGTAAACACCAAAGAATCCTTTGCATGATTAAAGGGTTCTTTGTATTGTGAAAGGGTTCTTCAGACTGATGGAGAATGTATGGTATATGGCTCTCAAAAGGTTCAAAAAGGTTCTGTATAGCACCAAAAAGGATTCTGCTATTGTTACGATACATGCTTGTTACAACAGAAGAACCCTTTTTGGTGCGGTACCTTTTCAAAAATGTTCTATATAGAACCATCTAGAGCACTTTCTCTATCAATCTGAAGGATTTCACCAGGCAAAGCACCCTTAAATCATGCAAAGGGTTCTTTTAGTGTTTACGGTTCTATATAGAACCATTTTCTTTACTAAAGAACCCTTGAGGAAACATCTTTTTTGAGAGTGTGTCATTATTTCAAGCTAGTAAGTCAGTGTAACATTCAGTAAGTCACTATAATCCATTGTTTCAACATACTAAGTCATTATTTTGAGAAAGTAAGTCATTTAATTCATAACTCATTTGCATAATAAGTGCTATAGAAGATGCTTTGTCAGTATTTTGTCAAACTGCTGCCGGATGAGTTTTCTCCTCGTTTCATGGGAATGTCCTTCCCCACGTCAGCGCCTGTGCTGAACGTACTGATCTGTGTGTTTCTTTTTCTGTGCAGTTCGAAGGCTGCAGTAAGGCTTTCTCTCGGCTGGAGAACCTGAAGATCCACCTGCGGAGCCACACGGGCGAGAAGCCGTACGTGTGTCAGTATCGCGGCTGCCTGAAAGCCTTCAGTAACTCCAGCGACCGCGCGAAACACCAGAGGACCCACCTGGACACGGTACACACACTCCATCGCCACGCTCTAACACACTGTACACCACACGCCAGGCTGGGGGACGCCTCACTTCTCAGAGTGTTTTCATTATAAACAGCGTTTTCTCTGCTGCTCCTGTCCTGTAATGTAAGGCAGATGCGTAACTTTAACTCATGCAAATAATAGCTGTTCTTCAGGGGGCTTAAAGGGGAATTCCACCAATCTTTCTGAATTTCTGCATAATTAAAACACCCTCACAGAAAGTTACTACATGAAATGGTTATGAATTCACTGCCTGATGTCTGTGAGATTGTTTGGTGATAGTTTTGAGAAGATTTCAGCCTTTACATCCATTTATGGTGGAGGGATGCATGCAGAGTTCTGTGAGAAAAAGAAGACTTATTTAGATTTATCAATATTTTACCTTTGACATTCTATATAGAAGGTCCACTGGTGGATTTGGATTCACTGCAGACAGTAGTATCTTGTCAAGTGAAATGATGGTAAACGTAGTCAGTGTATCTAATATTTCCCATTTTGAGACAGTTGTGCTCTTATTGTAAGATTATCTAGCTTATTTCTAGACATTATTTGCTTGTTTTAGGTAATTTTATCAAGTATAATTCTCTCACTATACTGGCAGATAATTTTGTCAATGATGTTTCTTAAAACAAGCACAATTATCTGCCAGTATAGTGAGATAATTTTACTTAACCTCTTCAACTCCTTGAGACCACCGGTGGTTCCAAAACGCACTTCGTCATATTCTTCATAATTTTCATATTTCATAAGCTCCATTCTAAAGGTGGGGGTCGTATGAGAGCTGTAACTGTCTTCTTTCCAATCAAATAGATGGGTGATGTAATTTTAAACCCTTATAATAAAAGAAGCTGAACTTTTCTACTGAAAGTCGACCCATTTTTCCACAAATCTGGGCTATAAACTATAAACAGATGGCGTCTCTTCAGTGATCTGCTCTGTAAACATTATTTTTATAAAATAATAAAAGGGCGTCAAAGATTTTTGGCTTTCAGCAGTAAATTGTAAGCATATAGTAATATGTGTATCATAAAACATAATAATGATAAAAAATAAAAAAATAAATAAATAAAATAAAAATGTACATTTATTTCATGCAGTTACTGAATAATTTGCCTTAAGATTTGGTCGTGTAAATTCAGATGGACAAACCAAAATACACCCACGTGCATAAGAGGTTAATAAAATCAAATAAAACAAGTAAAAATGTCTAGAAATGAGGTAAATATTCTTAAATTAAGCTCACAACAATCTCAACTTGAGACAAATTAGATTTATTTACTATATTTTAAAATAATTTAACTGGACAAGACACCATTTTTTTTGCAGTGTAGTAAATAAAATGTCTATATTTGTGTTGTAGTCATGGCGACCCCTGGTTCCTATCACCACCACTGTAAAGACATCTGAACCATTTCACACCAAACCACTCTGAATCACTCTGTTTACATCTGAACACTGAATTATGAAAACAGGTGTAATTCCCCTTTAATTGGCAAAGGTGCCTTGCAATTAATTAATAAGCAATTATGAGACCACAGACAATAAAAAATAACATGCAGATTCGTTATAAAAGCTCAGTGAAGTTGCTCTGTTTCTCTTTCTTCTTTTTTAGCCTGTTTCCCGTCACCTGCCCCGAGCGCTCCCATCTTTCCTTCTTTCTCCTCCTCTCTGTGCTGCCTGACATTAGGTACATATCAAGCTAATAAGCTCGGAGTAAACGAGCAGTGGAAGTGTTGACCTGTCACTTTTTCCGTGCGGAGTAAAGCCCTTAAATAGCAGGGTTTTGTTTTACATGCGCGCTGCAGTAAGAAACGACACGCAGCCAAACACTGATATCCCCTTTCACTTTAATGGCCGGAGGCTCGGGCCGCCCGTCTTTCTGCGCTGCGCTCACAGTGTGGCTTTCACACCAGCTAATCAAGCCGCAGAGCTGCTGTTTTTACCCACGATTCCCTCTCACACTTCAGTCAGCAGCGTGCGTTCACTCACAGCGGGGTGGTTTCATTAAAGGGCCCATATTCTGCTTTTTTCTTTAGTTTATTTTTTGTCCCTGAGGTCCTTTTTATAAAGTTTGTGTGGATTTATGAACAAAAACAGTTCATCCTCTTCCCTCTCTTTGTCCCGTAGAATTAAACCGACTATTTTTGTTACTGTGCCTTTAAGACCGATATGTAAATGAACTCTATTCTGATTGGCTACCCTGTATTGAGCCTCATTTAAAACGCAGTGTGGGCTGAAACACTCCCTATAACTTCAGTGTGAGTGGGCGGGGCTAAACTGCTGTAGGCTGAACAGGATATATGTAAATGAGTTGTTTTTGTGACATCATGATAACGGTGAATTGTATGGAGGGGGGTAAATGGTACATTTTGAAACATAATGTTTATATACTACACTTATTATTTCAAACATACTTTATTAAGTGACCCTTATTAGTCCAACAACGGGGAAATTTCACCTCCACATTTTGACCCATCTATGCAGTGAAACACCACATACACACTAGTGAATGCACACACACTAGGGGGCAGTGAGCATACTTGCCCGGAGCGGTGGGCAGCCCTATCCACAGTACCAGGGAGCAGTTGGGGGTTAGGTGTCTTGCTCAAGGGCACTTCAGTCACGTACTGTCGGCTCAGGGGATCAAACCGGCGACCTTCCGGTCACAAGGCTGGTTCCCTGACCTCCAGCCCACAACTGCCCTTGGACCCTTTAAAAGAATATTCTAGCAAATGTTTGGTGTCTGAAGTTGCATCTTTAGTTTTAGCACTGGAGCTTTGAGGCTGATGTGGTTAACATATAATGTGCAGCAGTTAGCGTAGTGCTAACACACTATAAACAAGGACTACAGCACCTCTCTAACCACCTCCACTCAGCCTGCAACTCTTTCATTTGATTTTAGTTAACTTTTAATAATATTTTGGTTCGTTTTAGCTATTGTGTCACTTTTATAATTACCAAGTTATTGTTTTCCATCTTCTATTCCTTTATTTATTTCTTTAATTATTTTAGTTTTTTATTTATTTTATCCCTATTTGTTTTTTTTTTGATTGATTATGATTTATTAAGTTGCTACATTGTTGGAATTTTAACGGTTTATTATTATTATTTTTTTTACTATTAAATTTACTATTATGATTATAATTACTTTTTGCTAAGTTTTTATAATCCAGTTTTTCGATCCCTTTTTTCAGTGTTGGCTTGGCCACGTTGTAAATGAGGATCAGTGTACTCTGAGTTTAAATAAAGGTGGATTGATTAATTGATTGGATGATTGAAAAGTAGCAGAATTTTGTTTGTGCTTCAGTCCATGTTTATAGATCACAGATTTACATACAGTGTCAGGAAACCACATAATCAAGTCTGTTAGAGATACTTAAAAGGGCATTCCAGCCCAAAACTAAGTTTAATGTGCTGTTTGTCATGTTATGCAGCAGTGTGGGTGGTTTTGGCGTGAGAGTCACGATTTTGGGTCTTTTTTTCAAACTCTGAAACTACTCTGCTTAAAAACCCAGCACAGACCAGCATGCGTTCCATGCTGATCTAAACTGGTCTATGCTGGTCTGGTGCTGGTTTAGCTGGTCACCCAGCATCGTCATGCTGGTTGACCAGTATACTAATATATATAATTATGTAATTAGCATTCCTAATTATAACTAATCATTGTAAATAAATAACTACTACATAACGTTAAGATCCCCTGAATAGACTATTAAATGAAATAAGCTTAATATAAAACCAGAGGAAAAACAATCACATTAACAGGTTCTCTGTGCTTCACCAACCACACGGCCATATCTACACAAACATCACACAGACAATACGCATCACACAGACATGAGTGTGGATCACTGCGTTCCCTCCGTTATATAATCTTATCCCACTTTCTGAGAGTAATATTATTGAAATAGTGTAATTTTGGACAGTATCTTTCTTAAACTGCCGCTCTGTAATGGTACTGAATGCAGTCCAGCAGCGATGTTGACCGCCCCAAAATGGTGGCGCCGTTGACGTGCCTGGCTGGACCCAACGCGGCATCTAGGTGTGTTTATCTATGAAAAAACATACAAACATTGGGAGTCCCTGTGGTGTCAACCAGTCCTGACTGCTAGCCTAGCCCCTGCGCTATAGGCTAATAAATACACCACGCCTACATTAGCATAACTCTTGAAGGTAAAGTATTTAGATTGGCATGTAGCGACCGTGCTAACTTAGCTTCATGAGGAATCATTTCTGGGGTTGGTAGTCCAGTCTCTCCACTGTAATGATGGTTTGAAGACAGTTTCTACAGTGATGCGGCTGCAGTGAGACGGCTGCAGTGAGACACTTCCCTGCTAGAAAAAACAGCAAACCCAGCTGTCACCATGCTGAGTTTTGGATGCTGGTATGCTGGTCAACCAGCGTGACCATAGACCACTGTAGTCGTGTCGTCAGTGTAGACGGCTCCATGCTCTTATGCCCGTATTAGGAACTCCGGGTCTGAGCTCCATTTCTCTATGGCCAGAATGAATAGGGTTTTCGAAAAATCGCCTCTAGCGCCCCCTGTGTTAAATACAAATGTTCAGAACCCGATACGTTCTGTCCTGTGAACATTTTTCTTTCGAATATCACTGGATACTCCGAATCACGAGGGCGTTAAAGAGTTGAAATATGAATATTGCTACATGCGAGCTAAAGCTACTGCACACTAAATTCATGTTATTAGACTGACTCCTTAATCAGGTTTTGTCAGCGTACATTTCCATGTTCAGACTGAGGGCAGATGAACGGAAGTCAGAACAACATCAGCAGGTTTCCCTGCAGTTCTCTGTTCTTCATCTGATCCTCACTGAAACCCAAAAGATCTTTCCTTTTAGCTTGATTTAAAAAGATCTACAAACTGACCTGCACTCAGGCTGATCCAGAACAGACTCAGCTTAACATCACTGCTCACCCTGATAAACTGATTTAGGCTCTCAGAACATCCTAATTTTTATTTTAATGCTGGTAACATTTTTCTGAGGACACTTTCTCGGGAAATTCGCCAGCTTTTTGTTCGTCTTTCCCCGTTCCACCTTAAATGGCGCAGCAGTCACGTTCTGAACTGCTGCGCCATTTAAGGTGGAACGGGAAAACTCGAACAAGCAGCCGGCGAAAAAGAAGCTGAGTTCAGCTTCATGGAGGGTTGATAGACCTGATATGAGGAGGTTTCTCTATTTCTGCTGAACAGCTGAGTAACATTAACTGATTTTTGCTGTTTCTCAGAACCGACAGGTCAGTGTTTTGTCTCGTTTGCTATTGTTTGTGATAGCTAGTCACAGCTGCTGCACCATTTAAGGTGGAACGGGAACGCCTTAGTGTTGTGTAGTTTAGTGACGTCAAATTGATGCGCAGTAGCTTTAGCTCACATGTAGCAATATTGGTATTATAGCTCTTTAACGACCTCGTAATTCGGAGGATCCAGTGGTATTCGGGAGAAAAATGTTCACAGGACAGAACGTATCGGGTTCTGAACATTTTTATTTAACACAGGGGGCGCTAGAGGCGATTTTTTGAAAACGCTATTCATTCTGGCCATAGAGAAATGGAGCTCAGACCCGGAATTCCTAATATGGGCATAACGAGGACTACAGAATGAAGCACGACTACAGTGGTCTATGAACCAGAACCAGACCAGCATTAGACCCACATACACCAGCTTAAACCAGCATGAAATGGTTGCTGGTCTGTGATGTTTTTTTTCAGCAGGGTTTGGTTCCTCATGGTGATGTACGCAGTTGTAGTTCCTCAACCGTTCCTCTCTCCTCCACGGTAGATCGTTGCCTCAGCTTTAGAGTGAAAAGTCTCACTCAGAGAGGTTGTAGGATGTCAGTTAGCATGTTTACAGCAGATGTGGCGACAGTTAACTCGACTGTAAAACCAAAGAAGCAAACTTCTGACACCAAACGCGGCTGGGCTGATGGGAAAACTGGGAAAATGAGATTTTCTGCTGAGCTGTTCCTCCAACCGCTGTCAGTGAGAGTTTGACAGCAGCGGTGCGTGGGCAGATGTTTTTTGAGTGGAAAACATCTGCACCGAGCGAGAGAGTTCAGTGTTGTTATCGTTCAGTAAATCCGTGTTATTAACGTGAACCGTGTCGTTATTCCCAGCCTGCAGACGGCACGTAAGTGTTCTTTAATAAAAGTGAGGAAGCATGAGTGCATGTCTGAGGAGTTCCTTTCCTCTGCCTGTCTTTTCCGTCTCCTCCTCCTCCTCCTCCTCCTCGTTTCTGCTTGTCTCTCTCGGCTCTTGCGGCTGAAGGCTGCACACCTGTGAGTTTATTGATTATTAAACATGTTACTCATTCACATTCCATACAGCTCAGGTTTAGAGAGCGCAGGTGCAGAGAGAGACTAATATTTATAAACTCTATCGCTGTATATCACACTACACCTACAATCTGCTACAAGAAGTGACCAGAACATACACCGATCAGGCATAACATTATGACCACCTCCTTTTTCTATGCTCATTGTCCATTTTATCAGCTCCACTTACTATATAGGTGCACTTTGTAGTTCTACAGTTACAGACTGTAGTCCATCTGTTTCTCTGATACTTTGTTAGCCCCCTTTTACCCTGTTCTTCAGTGGTCAGGACCCCCATGGACCCTCACAAAGCAGGTACTATTTGGGTGGTGGGTCATTCTCAGCACTGCAGTGACACTGACGTGGTGGTGGTGTGTTAGTGTGTGTTGTGCTGGTCTGAGTGGATCAGACACAGCAGTGCTGCTGGAGTTTTTAAACCCCTCAGTGTCACTGCTGGACTGAGAATAGTCCACCAACCAAAAATATCCAGCCAACAGCGTCCTGTGGGCAGCATCCTGTGACCACTGATGAAGGACTAGAGGATGACTGACACAAACTGTGCAGCAGCAGATGAGCTATCGTCTCTGACTTTACATCTACAAGGTGGACTGACAAGGTAGGAGTGTCTAATAGAGTGGACAGTGAGTGGACACAGTGTTTAAAAACTCCAGCTGCACTGCTGTGTCTGATCCACTCGTACCAGCACAACACACACTAACACACCACCACCACGTCAGTGTTACTGCAGTGCTGAGAATGATCCACCACCCAAATAGTACCTGCTCTGTGAGGGTCCATGGGGGTCCTGACCACTGAAGAACAGGGTAAAAGGGGGCTAACAAAGTATCAGAGAAACAGATGGACTACAGTCTGTAACTGTAGAACTACAGAGTGAAACTATATAGTAAGTGGAGCTGATAAAATGGACAATGAGCGGAGAAAAAGGAGGTGGTCATAATGCTATGCCTGACCGGTGTAGCTGTGGGAAATGTGCTTACAGCTGAGTGTTAGACAAGATTTTATTCTTGTGCATGGTTAAACAGTTAAAGGTTTGGACACGCCCACTCATAGAAACGTTTTGCGTGTTATAGAATAACAGCAAAGACATCCAAGCTGTGTAATATGCAGCAATCTTTTAGGCTGGCTTTACGCAGTGATGCAAGTAGTTGCATGCTGTGAGTTGCCTGCAACATAACTTCAGCGCAACTTGACAGTTACAGAGAAATTCAAAAACAAGTTGCACGCAACACATACAGTTACTCCACTGGCGAGTATCAGCTTGTGTTTCTGAAATGATGTTTTGTTCTCAATAGTCAGTTGCAGCTGGGTTTCAAATGAGTTGCAGGATACTTTGCATCATGCAACTCGAGCAACGTAGTTTTGTGTAGGTTGTAAGCTACTAAAATTGCATTAAAGTTCTTTTAATTTGGAAATAAATTCATATAAAGGCAGCACAAACTTCACTGTTTATATTTGTCTTAAAGAGAATCCAGTGAGAAACTGTGAACACACTCATGGCACATTATAATGCAGTTGTAAGGCACTATAAACACGACTATAGATATTTTAAAAGTTAAGAGTAAGATTGTTACGGTGTTATTGTTACAGTCACTGTTACTACATATATATATATATATATATATATATATATATATATATATATATATATATATATATATAATTTGCCTATAGGTAATTTGTCTATATATATGTCTATATGTACAAATAATAATGCTTACATTTTATAGCCGTGTTTATTGTGCATTATGAATTAATATGCTTTAGAAGTAATGCTAATAACGTGTTATATCATCAGCACCACAGAAACACAGCCTGCATAACAGGTTATGACTATCAACGCTGCCTAGTCTTAAACTCGTGCTGAGCTGTTTCATGATTTATATTCATAAAATATTAGTATTTAAGTTACCTCCATGTCTCCACCCTCAATAGACGGTTGAGAGTTTTAGTTTTATTAGTTACACTGTAAATATGTGGCGTCAATAAGCTTCAATAATACTTTAGTCTAAAGTATCACTTCACTTAGAGTGAGTCATAATCAGCTATGCGAGCTGAGACTGAGTTTCTTTGGCACTAATGATATAACCTGTTATGAATACTACTAATGACAGGGTATGTTACCAATTCATAATGCATCATAAACATGGTTATAAAGATTAACGCATTTGTCTTAGTATTTATATTCAAATTTATAATGCCTCATCACTGCATTATAACATGTTTAATGTGTTCATAGTCTCTTAAATTCATGGTGTTTGTTGTTTCAGACCTTTAAATCAAAAGGCTTAAGGTTATGAAAAGTGTACATGTCAGTCAGGTGGGTCTGAACCTTTAAGTGGTCTTATGTGTTTAAAGCCTAGTCCTCAACTAGATTCCTCTAACGATGAGGATTCCACACCTGACAGCACTTTTAGTTTAGGACCAGGCTTAATCTGAGCCCACTTAAGTGCTCAGTGTGTAAATGACTTGTCCTGTTCTGACCTCTGTGACCTCTGTGACCCCTGATAGAAGCCATATGCCTGTCAGCTCCCGGGCTGCACCAAACGCTACACGGACCCCAGCTCCCTACGCAAGCATGTGAAGGGCCACTCCACCAAAACCCGACATTCACAGGACCAGGTAACACATCCAGCTCTTTACGGGATCCACTGCAAACGCCATTTATCAAACTAGTAATATATTTTAAAGAAGAGAATCCTAACGTTTTGTGTTAGCTGATCTCCTTCGACCTAAATTAATTTCCTTTCTGAAATTTTAAGTAAGCTAATGATAAATTAAACAGATTTTTAAAGGGCCCATGTTCTATATGTTCTACCTGTTCTTTTATTTTTTAATTTTTTATTTATTTATTTATTTTTTTGTTCTTTTCTTTTCCATTGCTAACTAAGTTAGCCGTGTAGCTCCAGTGCAAAACTAAAGAAGCGAACTTCAGACATCAAACACAACGGGATAAATTGATTCATCACCCAAATATTCTTTTAATATAATAGTAAAAGTGTAAATAAACATGCATTGGGGTCATTCTACAGAAACGTCCATTTTTGTGTCCCTAACGTTTACAGACATATTACACTTAATAAACCTGTTAGGGTTACAATTTATTTATATTTTAAAATAAAACAATAAGTTATTTTAACAATTACACCTTCTTGAGCCTCAATTTCGCAATATTTTTGTTTAAATCAATCATATAGAATTCAGAGCACCACAGAAGAGCTCGTCCTCACAGTCATGTGTGAAGGCTGAGGCCATATTTTGAGGAAAAAAAAAACATTTTTTCTGCAATTTAACTGCAATAATCTATACATGACTACGGAATATATAAATTAATTGACAAAAAGAAAACAAATGGCAAATAAATATTATAAAATATATAATGAAAGTTGTCCCCAGGAGTCAAGTCACTGGTGTTACCGCGCAACAAAAAATCTCTTATTTTGAAATAAAAATCACACTGATGACATCACTCGACTTCCTTTTACCTGTTTTCTGAGGATCTATGAAGAAAAGCTCATGGTGAGTCCACTGTGTCTCTCAGTTATCAGAGATTTTCTCATTCAGCTCATGATTTCATATGAAGCTTTTAGCTGAAGTCACTGGTGTGACCCACTTTATTCTGAGGTAACTGTGAAAAAATAGAATACAAATGGATTAAATTCCATATTTTAGTGGATATTCCATTATTGACATCATGTGGTTTGATGCTCTGTAGCAGTTATTCTGTAAAATGCATTGTTCATTAAAAATGTCTCTGGTGTTCCTTTATTATGTGTAACACCAATGAGGATCAGTAACACCAGTGACTCCTATGAAGAGACAGAAAAGTGGACGTTTCTGTAGGATGACCCCGTGCCTTTACGTCCCTTCTACACTGCAGAAAAGCTCAATTCTTGCTCTCTGCTGTGCTAAATCCACTCAGCCTGAATTGGAAAACAATATATACCTAATTAGATGAGGTCAGTAATCTAATAAACTGAATTATTCTTGTTGGTATGTTTTGTAATACGGCTCCTTCCTCAGTATCTCACATTAAAAAGCCTATTGTGTTTCTGCCTTGTGAAAGCAAAGTGGGTGATGTGTGATTTCTCATGGCTTTGGTTCTCTAAGCAGTAACACATGTGTTCCTGTAACACAGTGGATTATAGCGTTCCCCAAGTGGCCCAGATGGTGACACGCACCGAACACTGAACACGCCTGCCAGTGACTCACAGCGCAGAGCTCTTCTACACTGTCAGAGGATTTCAGGCCTGAGACTCATTACAGACGGCTCTTAGACAGAAAGACTGCGTTCTGTATTAGTGACGCACCCAAATGAAAATTTTGGCCGAAACCAAAACTCAGAATGCAACGAGCTGAAAAAATGAAAATAAAAGACAATAATTAAAAACTGTGTACATAAAATACATGTACTAAAATAATTACAGTGTGTAGCTGCAGAATGAGCCACGAAATCCAGCGTCCTCCACAACAGAGAACAGATCATCATTCAAGACAATGAAGTCCACTAATCCGACTCTTTGCTCTTCGTCTGTGGTTTGGGACTGTTTATCATGTGTACAGATGGTGTTGGCGCGCTCGCAGGGACTTTCCCTTCTGCTTCTGCTGTTTTGCTGTGTTCCGTGTATCGTCATGTTTTCAGGTGCTATCAAACCTGCAGTGGGGAAGATCTTGGGTGTTGTACAGGGGCGTCACATGACCTGAGTTTAAAATAATATTTTTTAACCAGACCTGAACATTATGCCGTTTACATATCACATGTTTCACACCGACTCGTTTGCACATCATTCTCATCATCCATTGTTTTGTTCAGGGACACATTCACCCACATTCAAACTCCAGAGTCATTCCAACACAGCTATAGACTGTAACATGACTAGAGAGAGGGAAAGTCAGAAGATAAAATGTGTGAGTCCAGGAAATTTCTGTTAAAAACCAAATCTATTACATAAAAAAGTCACTCGTTACAAACCAAGCCCGACTCGAGCCTGATTTTTGGCCCGAAATATCGGCCCGAAAGCTGATATTTTGTTGCTGAAATCAAATCACGTTTATCGTCGTATCACGTTTACACAGGTGCGAAGGTGAGTGAAAATCTTAGGTGCGTAGCCCCCTTGTAGAATTTAAATACAAAAAAATATATATAAGAAAAAAGAAATATATGCATCCTCTTTAAATATATACACATATACACAATATACACTAGTATTGCAGTATTTCTAATGTACAGTTGTACAGTAATAAGTTCTGAAATAAAACTATGATATGTACTGTTGTTTCTGTATGTGCAGTTCGTGAGTCTGAGGTAGATAAAAAAGTTAAGTGACCCTTATTAGTCCCACAACGGGGAACTTTCACCTCCACATTTAACCCATCTGTGCAGCGAAACACCACATACACACTAGTGAACACACACACTAGGGGGCAGTGAGCACACTTGCCCGGAGCGGTGGGCAGCCCTATCCACAGCGCCCTGGGAGCAGTTGGGGGTTAGGTGTCTTGCTCAAGGGCACTTCAGTCACGTACTGTCGGCTCAGGGGATCGAACTGGTGACCTTCCAGTCACAGGGCTGGTTCCCTGACCTCCAGCCCACGACTGCCCCATTGAGATGCAGGGTACACAGGGGATAGAATATTGATACAGAAATCTTCCGGATTATACATTGTATGTTGGGTTTTGTCTGCACTTTATTATTCTAATTTCTTTTTTTTTGTGATTTTCATTAACATTAACATTGTTCGTAAAGTCTTTCTGTCATCTCGTAAAGAATCTGTCATCTCGTTTTTCTGGTCAAAACTGTCAGTTTGAGTTCTTGGCCAACATTTTTGGTGGCTGAAATTTCGGTGCATCTTTATTCTGTGCACTTTTGCCAGTTGGAAATGAATAAATCTTTCGTTTATCTCTGTTTTATCAGCAGCAGCTTTGTTTGGAGGCAGAGTCGGAAGGCATGGAGGATCGACTGACCACTGGCGCTGTCCATTCACTACATGCATCTGGTCAGATGGAGCCCTGTTCTCTCTATGAGCTTCAGCAAAGCAGCTTGACTGGTAGGTCCTGAGACACCTTACTCCTGAAGCACTTAAAAGCTTCTCAAACTCAAATTTATACAGTTCCCAAATGTAGTCCATCAGCTTGCCATGAAGGGGTGTACCCGTTCCACAGTGATGTTTAGGTAGGTTGCATGTGTCAAACTGATGGCCACACGAATGTCCAGTCCAGAGTTTCTCAGCAGAACATCTCCCAGAGCATCACACTCCCTCCTGCGTCTTGTCTTCTTCACACAGTGCATCCCAGTGCAAGTTTAATAGTAGACTTAGGCCCAGTCCCTTTTCTTATTTTTACCCCTACCCCTTGTTTTCAAGGGTCACTCTAACCCTTGGAACTGAGTTACAGGGTAGTGGTTGAAATCTTCCCTCTGAAATGGGACCCTCAAATAAAAAGAGCATCACTTCATTAACAGCTACCAGCGCTGCTCTGTAGGCGACCCTGCCAGACTGCAGTGACAGCAGAGGAGGGTAAAGTTCAGCTCCTCACTGCTGGGCTTTAGTTACATTTAGGGCATCGTATGCCTTCAAAGAGGGGGGCAATTATTTATTATCACCCACCCCTAATTCTTCAGTGATATGAAGCTGAAGTCAGATATTCACCAGCATGTTGTTCGAATTTTCTCGTTCCACCTTAAATGATGCAGCAGTTTTGATCCTAGAGGCACCAGAATGTAACTGCTGCACCATCTCAGGTGGAATGGGAAATTTAGCTAGCTACACTATATGGACAAAAGTATTGGGACACACTTCTTAATCACTGAATTCAGGTGTTTCATTCAGTCTCATTGCTACAGGTGTATAAAATCAAGCCCCCAGACATGCAGCCTGCCTTTACACGCATTAGTGAAAGAATGGGTCTAAAGAGCTCAGTGAATTCGAGCGTGGTGCTGTAATAGGATGGCACCGTCAGTTTGTGAAATTTCTTCCCTCCCTGATTTTCCACGATCAGCTGTGAGTGTATTATTGAAAAGTGGAAGCGTTTAAGAACCACAGCAACTCAGACACGAAGTGTCAGACCACGTAAAGTTACAGAGTGGGTCGCTGAGTACTGAGGAGCATAGAGCATAAAAGACACCAACGCTCTGCTGATCAGTAACTGCAGAGATCAAAAACTGTAACTGCAGAATACAAAAACTGCACCGGGAGCTTCATGGCAGGGTTTCCATGGCTGAGCAGCTGCACACAAGCCTTACATCACCAAGCACAATGCCAAGGGTCAGATGGAGTGGAGTAAAGCGCCGCCACTGGACTCTGGAGCAGTGGAACCGTATTCTGTGTAGTGATGAATCAGCTTCTCTACCTGTCAGTCTGATGGACGAGTCTGGGTTTGGAGAATGCCAGGAGAACCTTACCTGCCTGACTGCACTGTGCCAGCTGTAGAGTTTGGTGGAGGAGGGATGATGATATGGGGCTGTTTTTCAGGGGTTGGTCTAGAACCCTTAGTTCCAGTGAAGGGGAATCTTAATGACTCAGCACCAAGACATTTTGGACAATTGTACACCTCCAACTTTGTGGAACAGTTTGGGGAAGAACCTTTCCTGTTCCAGCATGACTGAGCCCCAGTGCACAGAGCAGCTCCATAAAGGCCTGACTGGGTGAGTTTGGTGTGGAAGAACCTGACTGACCCTCACAGAGCCCTGACCTCAACCCCATCAAACACCTTTGGGATGAACTAGAACGGAGATTGTGAGCCAGACCCTCTCGTCCAACATCAGTGTCTGACCTCACAAATGCTCTTCTGGATGAATGGGCAGAAATTCCCACAGACTCTCTCCAACATCTTGTAGAAGCTTCCCAGAAGAGTAGAAGCTGTTAGAGCTGCAAAGGGGGACCAACTCCATATTAATGTCTATGGATTTAGAATGGGGTGTCCAACAAGCTCATGTAGGTCAGGTGTCCACATACATTTTGGCCATCATATTGTGGATAAAAGTTAGCCGTGTAGCTCTGGTGCAAAAGTGAAGAATCAAACTTGTCGACTGCAGTTGAGGGAAGAAGGGAAACTGAGTAACCTTGATTTTCAGTGAACTTTAAACTTTAAACTTCTTCAGTTTTCATCAGAAGCACTCATTGTGCAGCAGCTCCTCCAGGGTTAAACACACGAAATCATGTAAAAACCCTTAAGATTCTTGTGAAATCGTTTCTGAAAAAGAGCGATGTGGTCAGTTTAAATAAATGTTTATGTGTAAATGCCAGTTAGCATTAGTGATGACAGGGCAGAAAGGCTGCAGACTGGCGGCTCTTTTCTCTCCTCGCCTCTCTTTAGCTCTGCACACGTTCTCTGAGATCAGTTCTTCCAAACCCATCAGCGGTGTGTTTACTCAATTACTGCACTCGTCCTTCCAAACGTTTTCCATTCCCTCCTTCAGCCCCTGAAGCCGAGTCAAGAAGCTGTCAGGTGGGCTAAAGCGCGTCAGAAACCGAAATCCGCGCTGACTGAACGAGACGAGGGGCTGTTTAGCTGAGAGGCTGGGTGGGAAAAGAGAAGCCGCATTATTTACTCCAGACTGATTCTGACCAGCGAGAAACAAAATCACCCCAGCACTCGAATTAGAGGACGTGGAGAGACGATGACTATCAGCTGGAAGCAATTACTGTCAGATCACTCTCAGGGCCTGCATTGTTTATTTGTTTAGACTTTGACTGATGTGTGAGGCGATTTTGTTTTAGTTTTGAGTTTGATTGAGTTTCAGCTATTTTTTTATGACGGATCATTTCTGGCTTGGCTAACAGTAAAACCCATTTCAGTAGAAGTGCTGTGATTCTAGTGGCTCATGGTTTCTCACAGTATTCAACTCCGTTTCCTCACAGCAGCAGATGTGTCTACAGTTTGGTAACGGACAGTAGAAAGATAACAGAACAAATTTGGTTAAAGCATTTGGTGGGAGGGGGGGCATTATGAGGGGGGGGCTTATGAGGCAGCTAATTTACACCGATCAGGCATAACATTATGACCACCTCCTTGTTTATACACTCATTGTCCATTTTATCAGCTCCACTTACTATATAGGTGCACTTTGTAGTTCTACAGTTACAGACTGTAGTCCATCTGTTTCTCTGATACTTTGTTAGCCCCCTTTTACCCTGTTCTTCAGTGGTCAGGACCCCCTTGGACCCTCACAGAGCAGGTACTATTTGGGTGGTGGATCATTCTCAGCACTGCAGTAACACTGACGTGGTGGTGGTGTGTTAGTGTGTGTTGTGCTGGTACGAGTGGATCAGACACAGCAGTGCTGCTGGAGTTTTTAAACACTGTGTCCACTCACTGTCCACTCTATTAGACACTCCTACCTTGTCAGTCCACCTTGTAGATGTAAAGTCAGAGACGATAGCTCATCTGCTGCTGCACAGTTTGTGTTGGTCATCCTCTAGTCCTTCATCAGTGGTCACAGGACGCTGCCCACAGGACGCTGTTGGCTGGATATTTTTGGTTGGTGGGCTATTCTCAGTCCAGTAGACACACTGTTTAAAAACTCCAGCAGCACTGCTGTGTCTGATCGACTCAGACCAGCGCAACACACACTAACACACCACCACCACGTCAGTGTTACTGCAGTGCTGAGAATGATCCACCACCCAAATAGTACCTGCTCTGTGAGGGTCCAAGGGGGTCCTGACCACTGAAGAACAGGGTAAAAGGGGGCTAACAAAGTATCAGAGAAACAGATGGACTACAGTCTGTAACTGTAGAACTACAAAGTGCACCTATATAGTAAGTGGAGCTGATAAAATGGACAATGAGCGTAGAAACAAGGAGGTGGTCAGAATGTTATACCTGATCGGTGTATTAAGCAATAACTAGGATTAATTAAGCCTCAGAGCATTTTCATTTGCCTGTTTTACAGAATAATCCTTTCTGCATTATTTAGTGATACAAAGACATTCAGCTAGTGCTTTAAGACAGTCTGATAATATTCAATCTAACAGGTTAGGTATTCAGTACACACTTAAAAATGATGGTTCTTTAGTAAGAAAATGATTCTATATAGAAACCTTGTGAAAGATTGATGGAGGATGTGTTGTAGACGGTTCTAAATAGATAACCTTTTTGAAAGGTGTACTATGTTGCACCATAAAAGGTTCTTCTGTTGTTATGATGTCAAGCTAGTTACAAAAGAGGAACTGTTTTTGGTGCCAAATTGAACCATTTTCAGAAAAGTCCTATATAGAACCATATACAGCACATTCTCCATCAATCTGAAGAACCATTTCACCCTGCAAAGAACTTTTTAATCATGCAAACGGTTCATGCACTGCAAAAAATAATATCAAGTGTAAACGTCTTAAATGTAGTCAATAAATCTAATATCTCTCATTATGAGTCTGTTGTGAAAAGTGTCTTATTCCATTGGCAGATTAGTTTACTTTTTTTCGAGAAATATTGAAGATAATTCTGCTTATTTTTTTATGGTAATAAGACACTTTTAATATATAAAAACAAGTAAAAAGTGTCTTGAAACAAGTTAAATAATCTCAGTATTCTTACAGCAGTCTCATAATGAGAAAAAGTAGATTTATTGACTACATTTAAGATGTTACACTCACTTAGATATCATTGTTTGCAGTGTGGTACTATGTAGAACCATTTTCTGTTCCCTTGAAGAACTATAATTTTTAGATGTCCTGTTAATAAGCATAGTTTGTGCAGACCCCGTGTTCAATTAAGGCCCATACAGCACAGTTTACACCTTTTTCATACATGTTAACCAGAAATCTTCACCTTAAAATCGACAGTTTTCAAGACAGCAACACTGAACCTGAACTCCATGTGAATGTTCTGATTGCTTATATACAGCTTTTTAATTGTGGTTTCCGTGTAGCAACTATTCAAAGTTGCTTCATTCAATTCCGAAGGAAGGAGAGATGCATGAGCTATTCTTCTCCAACCACCCATAGAAACCTGCAATACGATATCAGCTGTTTAGCATCCCCCAAGCAACCACCTAATACACCATAGAAACTGCCTAGCAACCACCTAGCAACCACCTGGGATACCATAGCATCATCTAGCAATACCTTAGCAGCCACCTGGGACACAATAGCAACCACCCAGAATAGCACGGAAGTGTAGAATACCAGATCAACCGTTTGGCCCCCTAGATACCGTAGCAACTGCCTAGCAACACTCTAGCAAGCACCTGGAACAGAGTTTTATCCACCTAGCAACCACCTCACATACCTTAGCAACCACCTATCAAAAGCCTAGCAGCCACCTGTGATACCATATCAGCAGCTTAGCAACTATTTAGCAACCACCTAGAATACGATATCAACTGTTTAGCATCCCCTAGCAACCACCTGGGATACCATAGCAACTGCCTAGCAACCACTTAGCAACCACCTGGGATACCGTAGCGCCATCTAGGAATACCCTACCAGCCACCTGTGATACCATATGAGTAGCTTAGCACCTATCTAGCAAACACCTGTAATATGATATCAACTGTTTATCAACCCCCTAGCAACCACCTAGATACCATAGTAGAACCACCTATCAACACCCGAGCAGCCACCTGTGTTACCATATCAGCAGCTTAGCAACTATTTAGCAACCACTTGGAATATCATGTCCACTGTTTAGCATCCACCTAGCAACCACCTGAGATACCATAGCAACTGCCTGGCAACACCATAGCAACACCCTAGCAAGTCCATGGAACACCATTTCAACTACCTAGCAACCACCTGAAATACCATAGCAACCACCTTTCAGCACCCTAGCAGCCACCTCTGATACCACTAGTTCACTCTAGTTACTGCTTAATAAAGGAGTAATGAGCAGAAACTTCCAGCTTCTGGCTTCATAAGGCTTAATAACAGCATTACAAGGGCATTATTATGACTCTTTATTAGTTTTTGCTGAAATCCTACCCTCTTAAAAAAGAAGGTTCTTCAAGGGTGAGATATAGAACCGTGAACACTCAAAGTACCCTTGCATGATTAAAAGGTTCTTTGCACCATGACAGAGTTCTTTGGAGTGATGGAAAATGTGCATGAATGTGCTATAGACGGTTCTATATAGAACCTTTTCGAAAAGGGTTCTATATAGCACCCAAAAGCGTTCTTCTATCATTACAAGCTTAACACTGTAACAATAGAAGAGCCCTTTTGGATGCTATATAGAATCATTTGTCAAAAAGGTTCTATGTGGAGCCATCTACAGCACATTCTCCATCAATTTGAAGAACGCTTTCATGATGCAAAGAACCCTTTAATCATGCAGAGGGTACTTTGAGTGTTTTATAAGTTCTACAGTGAAGCTGACCGGTGGGACATGCTTTTCTCATGGAATGGTCAGATCATCACTTTGCATACTTTTGGCCTGTAGTGTGTATAATGTTGTCCTGCTCTCTCAGCAGTGTTGTCGGAGAACAGGACGGTGTGCAGCAGAAGTCCAGCAGTGTCCGGCAGCACAGCGCTGCTCCAGACATCCAGGAACAGCAGCACGGAGCTCAGCTTCCCCCAAAACCTGCCGGACCCTCTACATAACAACAAAATCGCTCAGAACAGGTGGGATTCAGCATTCTTTAATTGCTAGTGTCTGTAGTTGATAATATTGGCCAATATTGGTGACTCACAGTTTCAGAGAAAACATTGCTGATCATTACTAACTTCATCACTGGGATTTGAACTCATGATCTCCTGATGATCTGGGGAGCCAAGTGTAATACTGACTGAACTGTTGCACCAGCTGTACGTAAAATCTTACAATGAGAGAAGTTAGTTTAAAACTAGCAACACACAGAATTTCAGTTGCACCACAGACACTTACGCACATGCACACACTTTCTAAGCTGCTTATCCTTCTGGATCAGGGGGGGAACTGGAGCCTATCCCAGCAGTCGTTGGGCAGAAGGCAGGTCGCCAGTCCATCGCAGGGCAGACAGACAGACGTAGACATTCACACACACACTCAGGGGTAATTTAGCATGCCTGATTAGCCTGGTTACCCATCTTTGGACTGTGGGAGGAAACCCACGCAGACACGGGGAGAACATGCAAACTCCACACAAAGAGGACTCTTGTCACCCGGCTGGGAATCGAACCCAGACCCTTCTTGCTGTGAGGCGACAGCGCTACCCACTGCCCCACTGACGTTTTCACTCTGCAGCCAATCAGTAACGCTACCCAACATAAACAGGAAACACTACACGCAATGATCTCCAGTCAAATCGCTTGTGCTCCTCTCTTTTCGTGCCACGTTTGCTTCTCTTAAGGTTAGTCGGCTGTATTAGCTGTAATTCAGAAAGACAGTGTTTTACAGTAAAGTGGGGTCCTCAAAGCGTCCGTCTCTTCTATGTGTGTTTATTCTGTTCTGCTGCTGGAATGGTTCAAACTGGGCTCTCGTGCACAATACTTTAACAGCACTTCAGCAGTCGGTAGCGTTAGCGTAGCTGCGGCTAATGTAATCTCCATTTGATTTCACTAAATGACAAAAAGGTGATGTTAGCTATGTTAGGTAGCTATAATTCAAAAAATAATCTGTGTTATGTATTATATGATAATGAGATCAGCGTCACACACAACCTGAGCACCGATGGAGCTGCTCTTATTGCTCTGCACACAGTTGACGTCTGTACTTGAACAGAGTCGTTCAGCAGGTTTAGGAATGATCCAAAGTGCCGGCCACAAAGTAGGACCCAGGGCTCTGTTCCAGTCTGTGTTGCGTTGCAAATCTGCTCCAGGAGGTCTGTGATCTGTTCTATCTCTAAGGGACGAAAATGGGTATAATCTATTCTGCAGAACTGATTGCCGACGCAAACCGAGACGTATTTCGTTTTCTTGCAGGTTTTCCGAACCAGCCGTTTTATCTATGGCAGAACTTATACATGCTACAAGGTATGTGTAAATTTTAAGTTATAATTTAAAGCTACGTTAAAACTATGTTACTTTGTGCAAGTGGTTAAATTCTAGTAGCTCGTAAACTAAACACCCTAGCAACCACCTGGAACACCATCGCAGAAACCTAGCAACCATCCCAAACACCATAGAAAGCCGGAATACCATATCAACCACTTAGCATCGCCTTAGCATCTTTGATCACAGCATCTCTGGGATTCGAACTCATGATCTTCTGACGATCTGAGGAGCCGAGACCAAACACAAAACATCATCATGGTTAAAATAACAAACACCTGTAAAATGTATCCAAACCTCACCTTAAGCATGACAATAACATAAAACAAACCCAATGAAAATATAAGAACATTAATAACTTGTTTTCTAATAAGAAAGCAACTAATAACTAACTAATAAGACAAACAAAAGCATGAAGAGTGCCTCGTAAGCCTCTCAAGTGCTACAACATTTACATTATTTAAGACTGGAGTTAAAGATCATTCAGACCTGACCATCGTATCGGTCAGTGTAGCCCTGTTTAATTATAACTAAAATCAAAATATCAAATATAAATATGAAATTGTGTATGTCAGTCTGCTTGTGACCCATGACCTCATTTTCTCCTCTCGAACATTTATCAGATAAATAACAAAGAAAATATCAAAACATAGCAAGATCCACTGTACTTTGTTGTTATCTTGTGATAAAACAGTAACGTGTTTCTGCAGTTGTGCTCAGTCGTGGCAGTTTGAGTTATACATACAGCACTGAGCAAATGTTTTAGGTGCTTAAGATTACATGTAGAAGTTGTTTATCTGGGCAGTGAGTGTTTATTTGCTCAAAAAACATTAATATTAGAATAAATACAAATAGCATTAATACAATATGTAGTATATTGATTGTCAGATTGTGTGTCAGTGTGTGTGTTTGACCGTTTCCTGCCCTCTCCTCGATGAAGCCCAGCATTACCTGTAGTTCTAATCAGTACTTCATTATGTTAAACCAGGAGCTGCTGATGAGGTTAATAAATCCATGTGATGCTGGAGGAGAAATCTGCAAACAAACTTTGTTCTTCAGTCTAGCTCACGAGATATCAGCTGCTTTTTTCAAAATTAGAAATTCCTGCTTCTTTTTATTGTATTTATGTCTATTTGCATTATTTCTAATGATATGTGGTGATTTTACAGGCAAAAACACATTTTACTGCTGAGATAAATGTTTTTAAACGATGAGCTTTCACACAGAACTGTGTGAGCCTGAGATTCACTAACGGCTGAAGAAAACAGCCATAAATTAAAGAGTTAATGGATAAAACTACTTAGATTGAAATGAGATTAGACATGTATGTATGACGTCTGAGGTTTGTCATGTCCAAACTTTTTACCAACAGCTGTTAAGCGGTCAGATGGGAGTGATTTGTCACTGGAAGGCTGCGTCTGCGCTGCGTAGACTCAGCCTGAATGTGGTTCTGTTTCTAAAAGCCACAAACTAGAAAGCAATAATCATAAAACAACACTCTAGGCTTTACGACAGAGTGTCACTTCGGACTCTCTCTAATGATGATTAACGTGATGTGCGGTTTTAGAGAAATGCAGCCAAGAACGTCAGCAGTCTGAGTAAACCAGCTTTCGCATCGGGGTTTTCTTTACTTCCTGGCCACTTTATCAGAAACCCCTCTCTTCTCGCACAAGGTGGGTGTTACTAATAAAGTGGCCAGGTAGTGGAAACACAAGGTAGGTGTTTCTAATAAATTGGCCAGTGAGTGTAAGTACAAGGCGGGTGTTTCTAATAAAGTGTCCAGTGAGTGGAAGCACAAGGTGGGTGTTTCTAATAAAGTGGCCAGTGAGTGCAAGCCCAGTGTGGGTGTTTCTGATAAAGTGGCCAGTTAGTGGAAGCGCAAGGTAGGTGTTTCTAATAAAGTGGCCAGTTAGTAAAACACAGGGTAGGTGTTTCCAATAAAGTGGCCAGTTTGTGAAGCACAAGGTAGGTGTTTCTAATAAAGTGGCCAGTTGGTGGAAGCACAAGGTAGGTGTTTCTAATAAAGTGGCCAGCTGGTGGAAGCACAAGGTGGGTGTTTCTAATAAAGTGGCCAGTTGGTGGAAGCACTAGGTAGGTGTTTCTAATAAAGTGGCCAGTTAGTAAAACACAGGGTAGGTGTTTCTAATAAAGTGGCCAGTTTGTGAAGCACAAGGTGGGTGTTTCTAATAAAGTGGCCAGTTGGTGGAAGCACAAGGTAGGTGTTTCTAATAAAGTGGCCAGTGGGTGGAAGCGCAAGGTAGGTGTTTCTAATAAAGTGGCCAGTTAGTAAAACACAGGGTAGGTGTTTCTAATAAAGTGGCCAGTTTGTGAAGCACAAGGTGGGTGTTTCTAATAAAGTGGCCAGTTGGTGGAAGCACAAGGTAGGTGTTTCTAATAAAGTGGCCAGTTGGTGGAAGCACAAGGTGGGTGTTTCTAATAAAGTGGCCAGTTGGTGGAAGCACTAGGTGGGTGTTTCTAATAAAGTGGCCAGTTAGTAAAGCACAAAGTGGGTGTTTCTAATAAAGTGGCCAGTTGGTGGAAGCACAAGGTGGGTGTTTCTAATAAAGTGGCCAGTGAGAGGAAACACAAGGTGAGTGTTTCTAGTAAAGTGGCCAGTTTGTGGAAGCGCAAGATAGGTGTTTCTAATAAAATGGCCAGTTGGTGGAAGCACAAGGTAGATGTTTCTAATAAAGTGGCCAGTTAGTAAAACACAGGGTAGGTGTTTCTAATAAAATGGCCAGTTTGTGAAGCATAAGGTAGGGGTTTCTAATAAAGTGGCCAGCGAGTGGAAAATAAAGTTAATGCAGGACTTCGTAGGAGATCCTACAGTCTTGGTGACACTATAATGTAAACAGTTGCTGATCATTGTGATCCCTGTAAGTTTTGGGGAACTCAGTGTGATTCTTATATTCCTAATAATCTGAGTGTGTCAGTGTCCGTTGTTGATGTTGGCGATGCTCTTGTCTTAGCCTGACACTGTAGCACTCTGGATTTGTACTGATGCTTAAAGGCCTCTTATTACGGAACGTCCATTTCTACCCGTCTTATGCCTGATTAAGTGTTACAAATGGCCTGTAGTGTTTATCCCCTGGGAACGTCGTTATTATTGGAGCGCTCGTTCATTCCAAATGGTTTTTAAACTAAATTATATTTACTTTGCATTGCGTTGTCAGAATTGTGACAGAATGTGCTTGTACAGAGTAAATTGGGCTCTTTTTGTTGTTTTTAGCAGTTTAATCTGCTGTTTGAGTGTTTTGTGCTGCATCATTACTGTATGAGTGTTTAGTGACTGAGTGATTTAATGTGGGTTTTTAGTGGAATGTGGGTTCAAATATACAACTCATGGAATTTGACCAGGGGTGCTCAAACTTTTGCATACAACTGTATGTTTTGATTATTCAGAGACTTTCATGACATAAAAATTTAATGGAAATAAATAATGTGTAACAATGTGAACAGTGTATTATTATTATTATTATTATTATTATTATTATTATTATTATACGGTATACTTAGCCTCTTATAATGCTCGTCTCCTTTCAGACTGACCTGTCCACTCTTGTATGGAAGCAGTTCGACCAGCCGTCCAGAAGATCAGCAACCAGCCAAAGAAACGTCCTTCAGCAGCTCAGCTCAGAAACCGGACCTGCTTCACCACGAGCACCCTGTACTCCAGCACTGTGAGCAGCAAAACAGAAACATAATAAGAGCGTTTCTAGTAAAGATGGTTCAGATGTCTTTACAGTGGTGGTAATAGGAACCAGGGGTCGCCATGACTACAACACAAATATAGACATTTTATTTACTATCCAGAACCACCAGTGAACCTACACGAGTCTTCTGAGTTTATATGGAATGTTGATGATGGGAAAATAGTGGAAAATCTGAAATAAATTTACAATTGTATTAATTATATAATTAATATAATTATATTATGTCGCTGTTGTCGGAAGAAAACAATCTCCAAAATGGTAATTTTACAGGAGAAGGAAAAAACCTACTTTACTTTTAATGTAAGTCAATGGAACCAGAATTTTTTACAAGTCATTTTGGGCCGTTTCTTTTAGTTTATTCATCATGAAGTTTACACACAATGTAAAGAACAACATGTATTTTCAAATAATGTCAAAAACTCAAAAACGTCAAAAATGGACATATGAGGTTTTCTTCCGACAGCTGTGATATATTATATCATTACTAATCATAATAATTAAGTTTAAAAAGTAAATCTCCACCATGAATTGATTTTAAAAATACATTTTAGATGAAAATCTCTAAACAATCCTAAAACAGTGTCTCAGTCATCAGGCAATGAATTCATAACCATGTCATGTAGGAACTTTCTGTGAGGGAGCTTTTAGAGGCAGATTCGTTGTGCTGTGATTGGTTGGAGGGCTCATTTGCATACTGTAGCCTTTTGCTATATCAGTATTGCAAAGACTTGCATCACAATAACAGCATCTGTGTCACACTAAAGGGGAATTCCACCAAATGTTCAAAATTTCAGCAATTTTCATGCTAAAATAGTGATAAATCTAAGAAAATAAGTTTTCTTTGTGGACTGTTTTGCCTTAGAACACCCTGCATGTATCCCTCCACCATGAATGAATTTAAAAAACACGTTTTAGACCAAAAGCGGGAACACTTTATTTTGATGGTCCTCTGTAAATGCTTAGTAGATGCTCAGTTTATCTTTAAATAACATTCAACTAAATATCAGTTAAATGCAACTGAAACTAACCCGAACCGTAATGTTGTTGATAATCAACTATCACCAAAAAGTTAATAAGTTAAGTGTCTGTAGATCATCTGTAGGGGACTATTCAAAGAAAATGTGACCCCAAAAAGCTGTGTTTTCAGCACTGGTGCAACAGATTTATAACTATTTCATGTAGTAACTTTCTGTGAGGGAGCTTTTAGAGGTGGACGTCTGGTTCCTATCACCACCACTGTGAGCAATTCTGACTCTAGAACAGAGCGTTTCACACCAAACCACTCTGAACGACTCTGTTTACATCTTAACCAGTTAATTATGCTGGTATTTTGAAAAATGAGTGCATTTCCCCTTTAATTAACAGAAATAGTTGTGTTTTTTGCTTCGGGGGTTAAAAATCTGTTGGCAGTAACTGTGGAATCTGCATTAAGTCTAGTAAAGCTGATGCAGCGTGGGTAAAAAGCCACTTTTACAGGCTTTTTCAGGAAGTCCCTCGCTTACAGGAACCCTCAGCCCCGCATGAAGAGCGCTATTGTTGCTGCAGAGGATTTATGCTTTATTTGCTTGTTCCCCATTGAGAGTGCGGTTAGTTAGCCATAACGATGGTAATGATTTAACTCTGGCTTCATTAACTCAGCGGCGAACGACTGCTCCATGGCCAGTTAAATTAGGGGAATTAATCAGATCCAACTGCGCGGCGCGGATCCTGAGCACAGACGTTTATACGCATCTGTAAACACTCCGTGATTTAAACGATGCTCCATAAATGTCCTCAATTAAAGTCCACTGCAGTCTGATTATGAGGAGATGCTGTGTTGATAATGAAGACGTGTCTCTCTCTCTCTGTAGTCTAACTGCTCGTATCGCTTCCAGCTTTCCACAGCTTTCCTGCACCTCCAGAGCAGAGTTACGCTGAGAGAGGAGAAGATCTGCACAGCTGTGAGCTGAACGGATACACCTTCATCCCCAACTTCACTCCAGCTGGTGAGAGATGAACATTACAAATCATATCACTGAGTTTGCGCACAAGAAAAAAACTAGAAAAGCTTCGTTCTGCTGGTGTACAAAGAATTTCTGAAGGAGGAGAACATAAATAAATTAAAATAATCTAGAATTTTCCACTCTAACAGTCATTAAGTACAAGCCATTCATTTTTCAGTGTCGGGAAAAATGCAGAAATCATTTAACACAAAGTGACACAGAAGCCTCAGCAGCTAAATCTAATCTCAGCTGTCTGATTGTTCAGTGAGTCACTCTTCACCTTTATTCCAGCTTCCATTCTTTTCAGGAGCCTCACTTTCAGCTCCTCAAAGAATCTGCAGACACACCTCCAAAGTTCAGTCTTAGAAGCTGGTTGATCATTTTCTGAAGTGATCAAACACATTCAGTGGTGTTGAGGTCTGGACTCTGGGGTGGTCAGTCCATCGTTCAGCTTCTTTGTTTGATGTGTCCGTCTCCTTTTCTCAGTGAGGTTCTTCTTGATCAGCTACACATCCTTTCAGACCCACAGCGCTGAGTCGTCTTCTCACAGTGGAAGGATGGACAGAAACACCTGTGGATGTTTTCAGATCTGAAGCAGCTTGATTTTCTCCTCTCTCTCAAAGATGAGAGCTTTAAGTGCTGTTTATCTGATGGGGGCAGGTTTGGGGTCTACCAGGTCTTCCAGGTGGTTGTTAGGAGACACATTTTCTCTGTGGACTTTAATCAGTTGTTAAAGTCCAGGTTTTTTTTTTTCACTTATTTTGCTTTGACTTTCTTCCTCATTATGAAAGTGGATTATTTTATATCTAATCTCCTCAGAATCTCCTGAAAATGGATAATTCACGACTGTTTTGATTGGAAATTAGATAAATGAAGGGTCTCTGACTTTTGCACAGCTCTGTATGTTTACTTCCATACCGTTACATTAACATACAAGGAGATTTATCTGGGCAGTCAGTGTGTCTGCGCCAGTAAAACATTATATAACATTAGAACACATGCAATAACTACACTAGTCAGAATGTGTTTGTCAGTAAAGTTCTGAATATGTAGTTTAGAAGATCTCAGCTTTGGTTCCGGACGTCCCTCTGACGTCCCATTAGCAGCAGCTCATTTACTTTAATGAAGGATTGATTAGATAAAGCAGGCACTGGATGGTGACTGTAAACCCTGCACTTCCTCCAGCAGAGATCTGGAATCGGTGAAGATAACAACAAGATCAAATCAAGAATTGTTTATATGTTTATTTGTATTTATAATATTTCAACTAATATATTAATTTTAATATAGTATTTGTTTTTTTAAGCGAATAAATGCTTACTGTCCAGATAAGCAGCTTTACAGACCATTTTCTCAGATGGACTAAGACTTTTTCACAGTGCTGAATGTAGTGTTTATTATATCAGTGCTGTCAGAACAAAACCACACGTCTCCATTTTAGTCATTGTTTTTTTACATGAAAATGTCTGCTGCTTATATTGCGTTTAAAGTTCATGATTAACAGACCAAAATGACTTTGAATACAATTTTTATTCTGTTATTCAATTTTATTCCTTTATTTAATCCATTGAAAGCTAAGAATTGTTTTTGTTTCTCCTGTAAAGTTACTTCTTCTTTAGTGATATGAGGTTTTGCTCCAACAGCGATATGTATACACAAATTATATATATATATATATATATATATATATATATATATACATATATATACGTGTGTGTGTGTGTATATATCTCGCTGTACCTTGTATCTCAATTTTTGACGTTTTCCAGTTTTTTACATAATTTGAAAAAGTCTGTTACCGTTTACATTGTGTGTAAATTTCATGATGAATGGACCAAAAGAAACGACCCAAAATGACTTGGAAAAAAGTCTGGTTCCATTGACTTACATTAACAGTAAAGTAGTATTTTCATTCTCCTGTAAAGTTACCATTTTGGAGATACAAGGTTTTCTTCTGATACCATATATATACATATATATATCATCACTGTTGTGCAAAAACTTAAAACCTATGCCTTCCTAACCTTGCATCTTCATTTTTTGTTGTTTTTTACTATTTTGCATTAAGTTAAATGTAAATTTTTCATGACGAATGGACCAACAGAAATGTATGTTATGTTAACTTTGTAAGTTAATCATTACACGCAAAGAATTTTTTTCCTTCTCCTGTGAAGTTACCAGTTTGGAGATATGAAGTTTTGTTCAGGTGGTTACTATATATATATATATATATATATATTCCTTCTTTCCTCTCTTTAGCAGACTTCAGTTCGAGTCCTGACCCTCAGACAGTCAGTGGGCACCTCTCCAGCTGTCCTGATGAAGGCCTCCTGCTGCAGATGGGTGTATATGACCGCTGTGTGGGTCAGATCTGCTCTCTGTACGCTGAGACGTGATGCCAGCCTTGAGCCCTGTTGTCATGGTGGACATACAACAACCAGCTAGAGGTCAACATCTTCAGAACCATTTCTGGACTTTTGGATTTTCATTCATATTTAATTTCATGGAAGTTCATTCTGGACGAAAGTCACAGCTGCAGAGATTATGTAGCAATATTAAAGACCACAGCGGTCACTGCAGCTCTTCAGCTGCGGACAGTGTTTACAGTAAAAGGGCTACGTGCTTTCACTGCGTTCTGTTATATGATAAGAGCTCTACTGGATCAGACGGCTCTCCTTCTTTAAATAAAACCCCTTCAAAAAGGAGAAGCCAGTTTTCAGTCCTAGTCTCGCTGATAAAGCCATTATGTGTACAATGTCACCATCTAGTGGTCAGTTTGAGCACTACAGACATCTGTGTTTTATAAATAAAATACCTTTTTATATTTTACATCAGTTTTTTCTCCAACACTTCAGTGTAGAACAGTCCAGAATTTCTTACTACAGCTTTTTAAATAAAATATTTAAAATGGTTTAATATCAGCTTTATTTACAGTGCCTGTGTCCATATCTCCTAAACACACTTCTCCACCTCACACTTCTCTCCTTCTGTTTCTGTTTCCGGCAGCAAAGTGTTACAATACTGAGTTAGTATCTCAAAATAATGACTTATATTTTCGAAATGTTGTCTATGTCAAAATAATGACTCAGTATCTTGTAATCATGACATATGATCCCAATTCCTTCTTCAAATTTAATAATGTATTATTTTACATAGTACTATAAACTTACCGCAAAATCTCTTTGAAAACAAATCAGTTTCATTGTAATAAGTAAATATTTCAAGAAAATAAGTCTTTTTCAAAATAACAAGTACATATTTCCAAAAACAAGTAATTACCCGAGATACTAAGTCAGTATTTTGAGAAGATAAGGCATTATTTCAATACAGTAATGCAGTATTATTGTTCAATGGTACTGATGTAGCACTAATAATGTAGTAATAATGACTTATTTGACTTATTCGGTTGGAAAAATGGCTTATTTTCTGAAAAATTCACTTACTTTTTCGAAATATTTGCTAATTTAATCAAAATATTGGTGTGCCAGGTCAGAACAATGACTTCTCAAAATATTAACTCACTATTTTGTGTCTATTTAATAACTCATTTTGGAATACTATTTCAAAATCTGGAGAAAATTAGTCCCTGTTTCGACATATTAAGTCAGTATTTTAAGAAAGCAAATAATGTTTTGAACATACTGAGTGAATATTTCAAGTAAAGAAGTTATTTTGATATATTAAGTCAATTTTTTATTTCAATATTTAAAAAATTTTGAAAACAAATATTTTGAGTCAATATTTTGAAAAAATTAGTCATTATCAACTTATACTGACTTAATATGTCAAAATAACGACTTATATCCAGAAATAAGTGCATGCTTTTAATAAAATGTAATAACTTTATTTCAACATTCAACATAAGTCAAAATTTTGAGAAAATAGGTCATCAGTATTTGAGAACCCTGCTGAAAAAACCCGTAGAAACCATTACATGTTTCTGTTGGGTTGGTATCACAGTGTAAAGGGTCCTAATGGTTTAACATGTGACCAATAGCTGATTCTAAATGCATGTGATGGTTTCCTAAGTGTCTGTCGGTTCCTGGTGGTGTCCAGTAGTCTCTATTGGTACTTTGTGTTGTCCTGATGGGTTGGTGTCACAGTGCAAAGGACTCTAATGGTTTTTAAGGTGTTCTGTGACGGATTCCAGATGCTTCTGATGGTTTCCTGATGGGATATAAAGGTCTTCTACAGGAAACTAGTGCTCTCCATTGGAAGCGATTAAGCCAATTTCCATTAGAAAGCAAAACCAGTTGTACTCTACTACACCAGTGCTAATACTGCCGCCCTGCTGGCAGAGTCAGGTGGTTCTCTGAGCTCCAGCTGGTCTGGATGAGCTCCTGTATGTCCTGTAGATATTCGGTCCCCACACGGAGATAAATACACACCCAGTGACGCACACACTCCTTCAGGGAGGAAGCAGAAGCTCTGCTGTTCTACACGGACACACCCGCAGATCTGCTGGAGAACGACCACAGCAGCTCCACGCCAGACCACCGAGAGGACAGACCATCACCACCACCACCACCATCATCATCATCATCATCATCATCATCATGACAGCTGAAGGTAAAACTTCTTACTCACCTTCCTGTGATCTGAAATCTATAATCAATAACCTGTTCGGCTGCATTTCTGCCTGTCTGAGAGTTCATTGTGTCTGTTGTTGTCTGGTGGCTTCTTGAAGCTGAAACTGGCTTCATTCTCGACAACTTCTTCTCTGAATTCTCCGCTCCACCTTAAACGGTGCATTTAACATGCGCCATTTAAGGTGGAACGGCAAATTCGAAGACGTCCACAAGCGTGAAGCATCTGAAGTGTCTCTTAAGTTCAGTTAATAAGGGATACAGTTAAAGATGCTTATTCAAATGAACAGTTTAACAGTTTAAACACTTCAAACTCGGAGTCTAAAACCTGATTGACCAAAAAAGCACAAAGAACCAACCAAACTTTAGCTCCGTTGTAGCTGCTGTGAAACAAAACGGACAATTCTGATTTCTTTATTTAGCTTTAATGTTGGAAAAAAGGCAAACAGACCTGCAGTCTGACCACAGAGTTCAGTCGTACAGTAATAAACGGAGTTGAGCTACCGCGCATGCGCGGTTTTTTAGCCATCACGGTACATACTACCATTTAATGTAGTTTAAAAGTGATTTTCACGATTTTTTCACAACTTTCTACATAATTAACTGGTTAAGATGTAAACAGAGTCATTCAGAGTGGTTTGGTGTGAAACGCTCTGTTCTAGAGAAACTTACCGAGTCAGAACTGTTCACAGTGGTGGTGATAGGAACCAGACGTCCACCTCTAAAAGCTCCCTCACAGAAAGTTCCTACATGAAACGGTTATGAATTCACTGCCTGATGACTGAGACACTGTTTTATGGTAGTTTTGAGAAGATTTTGGCCCAGAATATGTATTTTTAAAATCCATTCATGGTGGAGGGATACATGCAGAGCGCTGTGAGTCAAAATAGTCCCCAAAGAAAACATTTAGTTTCAGATTTTCCACTATTTTACCATCATGAAAACTCAGAGGACGTGTAGGTTTACTGACGGTTTTGGATAGTACAACCCCATTTCCAAAAATGTTGTGACGCTATGCAGAATGTAAATAAAAACAAAATGCAATGATGTGCAAATCATTAAAACCCTATATTTCATTGAAAATAGTACAAAGACAACAAATCAAATGTTGAAACTGAGAAATTTTCTTGCTTTTTGAAAAATATTTGCCCATTTTGAATTTTATGCCAACAACAAGTTCCAAAAAAGTTGGGACGGGGGCAACAAAAGGCTGGTAAAGTGGTGTAATGCAAAAAAAAACACCTGGTGGTTGATTGGCAACAGGTCAGTAACATGATTGGGTATAAAGAGCATCTCAGAGAGGCGGAGTCTTTCAGAAGTAAAGATGAGGAGGAGTTCACCACTCTGTGAAAGACTGCCTGATCAAATAGAGCAACAATTCAAAAATAACGTTTCTAAACATAAAATAGCAAAGAACTTTTGGGCTCAGAAACACTTCTGAAAACCACTGTCTGTGAAAACAGTTCATCACTGTATCCACAAATGCAAGTTAAAACTCTTAAATGCAAAGAAGAAATCATATATAAACAGGATCCAGAAATGCTGCCACCTTCTCTGGGCCTGAGCTCATTTAAAATGGACTGAGGGGAAGTGGAAAAGTGTCCTGTGGTCCGACGAATCAACATTTTAAATTCTTTTTGTAAATCATGGACACTGTGTCCTCCAGGCTAAATACCACTCAGCTTGTTATCAGTGCACAGTTCAAAAGCCAGTATTCATGATGGTGTAGGGGAGCATTAGTGCACATGGTATGGGTGACGTGTTCATCTGTGAAGGCACCATTAATGCTGAATGATATATACATGTTTTGGCAACATATGCTGCCGTCCAGACAACGTCTTTTTCATGGAAGGCCTTGATTATTTCAGCAAGACAATGTCAAACCACATTCTGCATGTATTACAGCAGCATTGCTCCGTAGTAAAAGAGTCCAGGTGCTAAACTGACCTGCCTGCAGTCCAGACCTGTCACCACTGATAACATTTGGCGCATTATTAAATGAAAACTACGACAAATGAGACCCTGAACTGATGAGCAGCTGAAATCCTGTATCAAACAAGAATGGAAAACATTTCAGTTTCTAAACTACAGCAGTGTCTCCTCAGTTCCCAAACGCTTACAGAGTGTTGTTAAAGAAGAGGTGATGTTGGCATCAAATTCAAAATGGGCATATATTTTTCAAAACACGCTAAAATTTCTCAACTTCAAAATTTGATATGTTGTCTTTGTAGTATTTTCCTTTAAAAACATGGTTTACATGATTTACACATTACATCCTATTTTTATTTACATTCTGCACCTTTTTTGGAAATGGGGTTGTAAATAAAATGTCTATATTTGTGTTGTAGTCATGGCAACCCCTGGTTCCTATCACCACCACTGTAAAGACAACTGAACCATTTCACACCAAACCACTCTGAATCTCTCTGTTTACATGTCACACACTGAGTTATACAGACATTTTGAAAAATCAGGGGAATTCCCCTTTAACTTAATTAAACCGAGAGTGTTTGTTGTCTGAATAAACAGTCATATAACAGTGAGATCACTGAGGTCCCCCTCTGTGGAGAGGAAGGGGATGTGAGGGGGAAGTTGTTGCTGGATGAGATCATTAGGTTTGTGTTTATATATAACTGACTAATGCGTTTCCATACAGTGTGCACGAGTTAGCTTAGCCGTGTTCATGTACAGTTCTGCGCAAAGAGGAAATTATATTAAAAAAACTGTTTATCTCGTCTAAAAACCTTTATTTGATCAGAAGAGCACTAATAATAGAATAAATACAAATACCACGCTGCAAAATTGGCATCTTGGCCAATGAAATGATGGTAAATCTAGTCAATATTCCTCATGTTGAGAGGGTTGTAAGCTTATTATAAGATTATTTAACTTCTTTTTAGATGTTTATTACTTGTTATGAGTGATTTTGGTCAATTCTAAGTCAGATTATTTCACTACATTGGCAGATATTTTTGCTTGTTGTAAAAAATACTTGAAACAAAATTACCTGCCACTTTATTCGCTTAAATAAGCACTAAAATAATTTAAAACAAGCAACAAACGCCTATAAATAGTTAAAGAATCTCATAAAAAGCTTATATTATATTAGGTATATTGACTTCAATTTAAGATAATTTCACTTGCCAAGATATTGTTACAGTGCAGTAATACAGTAAGTAGTGATTTTCTATGTGTCAGTGTTTTAATTTAACCATTTCCTGCCTTCTCATTTAAAAAAAGGTGGTTCTTCAAGGGTTCTTTAGTAAAGAAAATGGTTCTAAATAGAACCATAAACACTCAAAGTACCGTTTACATGATTAAATGGTTCTTTGAATGGTGAAATGGTTCTTCTGATTGATGGAGAATGTGCTGTACATGGTTCTTGTGACAATGCCAAGCTTATAATAATAGAAGAACCCTTTTTGGTGCTATATAGAACCCTTTTCAAAAATGTTCTGTATAGGAATATCTATAGCACATTCTACACTCTTAAAAAAGAAGGTCCTTCAAGGGTTCTTTAGTCAAGAAAATGGTTCTGTATAGAACAATGAACACTCAATGAACCCTTTGCATGATTAAATGGTTCTCCGCATGGTGAAATGGTTCTTCAGATTGATGGAGAATGTGCTGTAGATGGTTCTACAAAGAACCTTTTGGAAAGGGGTTCTGTTGTTGTGACAGCCTCAAGCTTATAATAATCGAAGAACCCTTTTTGGTGCTATATAGAACCCTTTTCCAAAATGTTCTGTATAGGAACATCTACAGCACATTCTACACTCTTAAAAAAGATGGTCCTTCAAAGGTTCTTTAGTCAAGAAAATTGTTCTTTGTAGAACCAGTAACACTCAAAGAACTCTTTGCATAATTAAATGGTTCTTTGTATCATTAAATGGTTCTTCAGATTGACGGAGAATGTGCTGTGAATGGTTCTATATAGAACATTTTTAAAAGTGGTTCTATGTAGCACCCAGAAGGGTTTTGCTATTGTTACAGAGTCAAGCTTGTTACAATAGAAGAACCCTTTTGGGTGCTATATAGGTCCCTTTTCAAAAAGGTTCTGCACAGAACCAGGTACAACACATTCATGCACATTTTCCATCAATCTGAAGAACCCTTTCATGACACAGAGAACCCTTTAATCATGTACACTTAAAGAACCCTTTGCATGATTAAATGTTTCTTCGCATGGTGAAATGGTTCTTCAGAATGACGGAGAATGTGCTTTAGATGGTTCTGTATAGATGGTTCTATATAGCACCAGAAAGGGTTCTGCTATTGTTACGGTGTCAGGCTTGTTACAATAAAAGAACCCTTTTTGGTGCTTAACCCTTTTCAAAAAGGTTCTATATAGAACAGCACATTCTCCACCTTTTACCATGCAGAGAACCATTTAGTCATGCAAAAGGTTCTTTTAGTGTTCAGCGTTCTATATAGAACCACTTCCTTTACAAAAGAACCCTTGAGGAACCATCTTTTTTAAGTGTGTGCATCAATCTGGAACCAAAGCTGTTCTAACCAGCTCAGAAAACATAAGCTACTTTATTTTTTTATTTACTTTATTTTTACTTTATTTTTTTATTTTTTACTTTTTGCACGGAACCATCCAGGTTCTAAGTATGCAGCAGCACTCCAAAAGCTGACCTTTGACCTGCCCGGCCTGAGAGATATCACTAAACGGACTGATAATACAGCTGTAGTGAGGATATGAGTCAGAAAACAGTGAGGCATGGTGAACATTAGTGTTTTCACTAAGAAATAAGCTGCACAGAGCCGTTCCTGGAGCGTGAGGTCAGACTGGGCAGTGTAGACCGTGATACGGAGCAGGCCGTGTGCTGTGAGGGTGTGTTTCAGCCTCACACACCTATCAGCCCTGCTGGACCTTTCTCTAATGCCTGTACACCTCTGTGCTGCTGTCTAATCAGGCTGGGAGTGGACGGCTGAGGAAAGCACACTTATCTCTGGGGTTCAAAGTTTAGGCCGTCTGGTGCTTTAAGGCCTTTTCCTGTTACAGAGCTGACCAACATCTTACACCTTCATAACACACTGCAAAAAATAATATCTTAGCAAGTGTTAATAGCTTAAATATAATCAATAAATCTCATATTTCACATTATGAGACTGTTGTAAGAATATTATAAGATGATTTAACTTATTTCTAGACATTTTTACTTGTTTTTAAGCAGTTTTATCTTATAATCGTGTCTTATTTCATTGGCAGATCATGTTAGTTGTTTTAATCATTATTTCTTTAAATGAGCAAAATTATCTTCATTATTTCTCAAAACAACTCAACTAATCTGCCAATGGAATAAGACACTTTCACCAGATAAAATCACTTAAAACAAGTAAAAATGTACAGAAACAGGTGGAATAATCTTATAATATTCTCACAACAGACTCATAATGAGAGATCTTAGATTTATTGACTACATTTAAGACATTTTCACTTGTTAAGATATTATTTTTTTGCAGTGCAGACTCCTTTTTTAATTGCATATATTTATTATTTTTTAATGTTTTTTAAATTGTAACCTTCTAAAAACAAACTTATTAATAGCTTGCAGCATTTGTAATGTGTATAAAGTAAACAGTCTTGCAGCAAATAAATAATTTGTCTTTTCAAATTTCTACATTGTAATCAGAGAGATTCAGAGTGGTTTGGTGTGAAATGGTTCAGATGTCTTTACAGTGGTGGTGATAGGAACCAGGGGTCGCCATGACTACAACACAGATATAGACATTTTATTTACTATCCAAAACCACCAGTGAACCTACACGAGTCTTCTGAGTTTATATGGAATGTTGATGATGAAATGATGAAAATAGAGGTAAATCTGTGTGTCAACATCATAGACTACTGTTACATCATCTTAAAGGGCTCATATTTCTGTATTTCTATGTACCAAAAACAATGATCTTATCTCAGCCTCTCTTTTTCCCTTACTATTGAATAGGTTGTTCCTGTCACTGTGCCTTTAAGACTGATATATGTAAATGAGCTCTGTTCTGATTGGCTGCCTCATATCAAAATGTGGCTGAGACGCTCCTTGTAGCTTTACTGTGAGTGGGCGGAGCTAAACTGCTATAGGCTGAAATATGAAAATGTTCAAAACCAGCTGTTTGTGTGGCTTAAGCCCTGTTTGGGTGGGATAGGTTTTACATGAGGAGGTGATGTAATGTAATTATTACCAGCGTTTCTCAGTGATTTTAGTCCCGTCTGAAGGTGCCATATCAGTCATGTTGACCGACGGCGCGCTCCAGCGTCAGTACAGTTTCCGGCGCCTTTTACTTACTACTCGGGTTATATTAGTCCAGTGTGAATCATCTTATCAATAAAAATGCGATCATATTCTGTGGAAATGGAGCTTCTCAAGCATGGAGACACTCAAGGAAGCACTTACTTGTGTTCTCTGTCAAACATGTAAACCCCACACAGAGAGGACCCTGGTCTCCCGGCTGGGGAATCGAACCCCTTCTTGCTGTGAGGCGACAGCGCTACCCACTGCGCCACCGTGCCGCCCTGTTGAAGCTGCAGTGAGCTTCTTATTCCAATTTTCCTATTCCACCTTAAATGTGTGGCAGTTGTTATTATTATAATGCCTGAAGCACCAGAATGTAACCATTTAAGGTGGAACGGGTGGTGATTACGAAGCCAACTTCAGCCTTGTTGTTCTCTGTGGCTAAAATCAGGCCGACGTGTAACGTTACTGTCCCGTCTCACCTGTACAACTCAAAACACGTAAAGATCACAAGAGCAAAGTTTGTTTATCTGTGGTGAAATTGACTGTTGGCTGTGAATTAAGGCTAATGGCAATGCTAACGACACACTTAATTCACTTAAGACAGAAAGGTGAATGGTTAGGGTAAACGAAGCAATGGCTAAATGAAATCTTTTCTCCTCTCTCCTGCAGTGAAGGCGGCTCGTAAATCGTCTAGCTGCTCCCATCTCTGTCATTCATAGAGATTTTTTATCCCGTGCGAATCGCTCCTAAACATTACAGACGACCTGAGGTAAACTTTCATTACCTGCCTCCCAAGGAAGACTAACCCTATCCAAATAGTGCTTTGGTTTCCATATATGGACTGTATGGGCTTCATGGTGGAAAGGCTACAGCGCAGTGAGTAGCACTGTCACCCCACAGCATGAAGGCTCTGGGTTCGATGCCCCAGCCGGGCAACCAGGGTTCTTTCTGTGTGGAGTTTGCATGTTCTTTTTGTGTCTCATGAGCAGTTTAAATGATGAATGAATGATAAGGACTGTTCAAGTGAAAAATAGCTTGTTTTAAAGCTTCGGCATTTTTAAAGAAGAAATCAGATCAGTATCAGAAAAGAAAAACTGGTATCTCTACTTAAAGCACCCTGCATACCTCTCCACCATGAATGCTTTTAAAAATGTTTTAGGCCAGAATCCTCTCAAGACTACTGTAAAACAGTGACATCAGGCAGTGAATTCATAACCATTTCATGTAGTAACTTTCTGTGAGGGAGCTTTTAGAGGTGGTTCCTATCACCACCACTGTGAACAGTTCTGACTCGGTAAGTTTCTCTAGAACAGAGCGTTTCACACCAAACCACTCTGAACGACTCTGTTTACATCTTAACCACTTAATTAAGAAGAAATTTTGAAAAACTGGAAAAATGCTGGAGTTCCCCTTAAACTCGCCGATAACTGTAATGTTATAACCTTTGACTTCTGATGATGGTAAAATAGTGGAAAATCTGAAATAATAAGTTTTCTTTGGGGACTATTTTGTCTCACAGCGCCCTGCATGTATCCCTCCACCATGAATGGAGTTTAAGTTCTCAACACTACCATAAAACAGTGTCTCAGTCATCAGGCAGTGAATTCATAACCATTTCATGTAGGAACTTTCTGTGAGGGAGCTTTTAGAGGTGGAGGTCTGGTTCCTATCACCACCACTGTGAACAGTTCTGACTCGGTCAGTTTATCTAGAACAGAGCGTTTCACACCAAACCACTCTGAACCACTCTGTTTACGTCTTAACCGTTTCATTATGCAGAAGGTTTGGACAGTAAGTGGAGTTCCCCTTTGGTATGTAGGATGCACTGTAGCGCTGGAGAGATTGTGGAGGTGGGCTGGTCTGTTGGTTAGTTCACACATTCCACTCTCCATTGTTTACATCAGGAAAGCTTGCCGCTGTCAGGGCTACACGGGCGCAGGAGAGGAAACGCACACACACACAGAGGCCTCACTGCTAAGCAATGAGGTGGAAAAAATATCTCAGAGCAAAGTGCGCTCATCTTAAAGGCTCTTATTGATTCCCAGGCTCTGAGACTGGTGCACAATCAGCCGGAGAAAGACTCCAGTTCAGTTCAGTTCAATTAACTTAGAGCTTTTAACAACAGACGCTGTTACAAAATCAGCTTTGAAGAAAATCAGGGTCCCAGTAATGGGTAAGTGTTGCTATTTTACAGTTACAGGGTTCTTTTATTTGAGTTTCTATGGTGCAGGTTCTAAGAAGGAAGCTCTAGCTCGAAGCTCTAGCTTGGCAGAAAGTCACAGCGTTCCCTTCGCCCTGTTGCACCACACGCTGTCTGAGCCAATGTATTTATGTATTTGTTCTTTTCCTGGCCAATCATGCTTTTTCTCCTGCATTTGCAGCTTGGACTCCTGATCCCAGCTCACCTGGTCACCATGGCAACCCTTAGACAAACCACAAGAGCCCTGAAACCTTGGCAGCAGCGCTAAACCCGGAGGCAAAAGCTAGGAGATCCCTTAAGGTCACCTCCAACATGAGAGAAAACAGAACACAACACAAACGTGAGCATCCAGAATGCATGTTAGGACTTGAATGGAATTAAAGTGATGATTTACACGGCACAAAATGAGACCTTAGTGAGTGTAAACATCTTAAATGTAGTCAATATAGCTAATATTTCTTATTATGAGACTGTCGTAAGAATATTATGAGATTATATAATTTATTTCTAGAAATTTTTACTTGTTTTTAAGCAGTTTTATCTTATAAAAGTGTCTTATTTCATTGTCAGATCATGTTACTTGTTTTAAGCATCATTTCTTGAAATGAGCAAAATTATCTTCATTATTTCTCGAAACAAGTAAACTAATCTGCCAATGGAATAAGACACTTTCACCAGATAAAATCACTTAAAACAAGTAAAAATGTACAGAAACAGGTGGAATAATCTTATAATATTCTTACAACAGCCTCATAATGAGGAATATTAGATTTATTGACTACATTTAAGATGTTTACACTTGTTAAGATATAATTTTTGTGGTAAAAAAGGCTGGCTTTACACTTTGAAACCTTCATACAGCTAGTTGCATGTTGTGAGTTGCCTGCAACATAATTTCTGTGCAACTTGAGAGTTACACAAAACAATCCAAAAACAAAGTTGAACGCAACACATTCAGTAACTTCACTAGTTAGCCAAATTACCAAGTCTTTTTTTGATGCACCCTATCATTCTCACTGTAAAGTCATCTGTATCAGGTGAAATTTGTAATAATAAGAAAATTATTTACTTGTTTTAAGTGATTTTATCTGGTGAAAGTGTTTTATTCCATTGGCAGATCAGTTTACTTGTTTTGAGAAATAATGAAGATAATTTTGCTCATTTCAAGATGATGATTTTCATAAGACCCTTTCGTAAGATACAGCTGCATCTCTGTCTCCTCTTCTTAAATATTTGCATAGTAATCAAATAAGAATAGCTCTGTTTATAATGGAGCGTCCCGAGAGGAGAAACTGAATCTAGCTAAATAAATCACTCTAACAGCAGCTAAAGAAGAATAACCGATGAAATGAGCAGCTGTTTAAACAGCTGTCAGCGTTAGCTGGCCAGTTAACGCAGCTGTTTACAGAATCATTCGCTCAGAGAAAGTCACGTTTGTTGTTGTGGCTTAGAAATCTGACAAAATGCATAACAACTAACCTTGAGTAAGTTGTGCCGTTATGACTGGCTGTTTCGCGAAACTTTGTGGAACCAATGCGGCTGAGTTTCAGGTTGCAACTTGACATGTTACATTATGCAACTTAAGTGCAATTAAGTTTAATGTATGTTTGAGGCAATTAAAGTTGCATGAAAGTTACACCATGTAAAGCCAGACTAAAGTAGCTATCAAGTACCCAACAATTAGCATGGTGCTAACTGCATCCCTGAATCATCAGATACTCACCTCCAACTGTGTAGAGGTGTTCAGTATAAATAATAAATAATCTATAAATATGGACAGAAGTACATTAGCATTTGGCTTCATTTTTATAGATAATAGTAGTTTACAGTAATTTACAGTAGTTTACAGTTCTGTGTCCAGAATCCACAATGTTTGCATGACCGTAATGAAGACCTGGATGCTGTTTGAGCAGGTTGAGAGAGGTTTTAGGGTTAATTTCAGGGAAAAGATTTGGGTGACTATTGATTTCTAGTGTTTATTAGCAACGTTAGCCTCATAGCTGCAGCGCTAAACTAACAAAGGCTACATCTGAGGTCATTTGTTTGCTTGTCAAACTATTCCTTTAAAATTTCTTGACAAAGGGTTGTTTATTGGTTGAAATGGCGTCTAATTCTGTGCCTTTGCTGTAGGGGTCTTCTCCCTTTGTGGCGTCCTCTTTATTCTCTACCTGGCGTCTGGTTCTGAGGGACAGTCTCAGAGATGCGAGTGTCTAGCCGCCATGGTTTTGCCACAGCTTCCTTCGAATCTCCCCAACGAGACCTGCTGCCTGAACTTCTCTGGGTCTTCACTTAACAATCTGTCTTGGACGGCTTTCGGCTCCTTGGCCAAGCTTGAGATTTTGGATCTGTCGTTTTGTAACCTCACCCATGTTGATGAAACTGCAGTTGGTTTTAAGCTCTCCTCACTGCGAGAGCTGTACCTGGGTCACAACCAGCTCAGATCAGTGCCTAGAACATTTCTAGCTAACGCGTACAGTTTGGAAGTGCTGGATTTGAGGGACAATCTCATGGAAGATCTGCCTGTGGATTTCTTGCAAAGCTCAAACCTCCTCCGTGTTCTGCTTCTGGATGGAAACCGTCTGCAATTTCTTCCCAGCACCATCTTCAAACCTTCACTCCAGCAGCTGGATTTGGAGGGAAACCCCTGGAACTGCACTTGCTCTTTGGCGGAGGAGCTCCAGAAGGTTCGGAATGGCAACTCCACCAGCCTGGAGGACATTGTGGGCAACCTGACCTGCGCTTCTCCACCAAGACTGGCAGGCAAGACCGTGTGGTCAGTGCAGGCTAAAGACATCTGTCCACCAGGGCGCACTAGCCTTAGCGCCCTTTTTATACTCCTACCGCTTTTCCTCCTCCTGGTCCTGTTGCTCTGCTGGTGCTGCGGCAAAACAGGGAAGAAGAAGGAGACCCAAACCTCCAGGTCCTGCAAGAAGGACACTCACCTGAACAGGAACGGACGCTGGGCTCAGGAAAAGCCGGCATTCGAAGAGAAAGCGGGAGCTGGAGAAAGCGCCAAAGATGCTATGCTAAAGAACCAGCTAATGCTGCGGCCTTCTTCGGCTCTGCTGGGCAGCACGCGGGACATCTACGAAGAGGTGGAGGTCAAATTGGGGTCCGTGGACTCTCTGGGGCCTCCACCCTCAACCTCTTCAGCAGAGGGGACTGTGGATAAAGTGGAGAACGAGGAAAAGGAGGAGGAAGATAGCAAGCAGGACCTGGAGACGGTCAGTGTGACCGAAGTGATGAAGGACTCGGCTGACCGCGAGAAAGCCTACATGACTCAGTCCACCAAATACTACAGCCTGGTTCCCGGGCTAGAAATCGAGGATTCGGATCATGGAGAGTACGAGAGCGTGGATCTGTCGTGACCCTCCGAAAAGTGTTTGCATGTCAATAAGATAAGCTTTCAGGCTACGTTCGCTTTACAGGACGTTGACTTGGTCAGTTCCTTGTGTTTGTCAGATAAAGCAGCTGCTGACCACACTGGATGATGACCAGAAAGAAAAGAAAGCATCGATCCTGAAGATCTCGAAATACTTTCAGGCCAAAACTACACACTACAACCACAAATGATGGTTTTTAGTAAAGAAAATGGTTCTATTAAGGAACCATGGACACTCAAAGAACCCTTTGCATGATTAAAGGGTTCTTTGCATCATTAAAGATCAGATTAATGGAGAATGTGCTGTAGATGGTTCTATATAGCACCAAAAAGGGTTCTTCTATTGTTACAATGTCAAGCCTGTAACAGTAAAAGAAACCTTTTTGGTGCTATATAGAACCCTTTTCAGAAAGGTTCTTTGCAGAACCATATAAAACGCGTTCTCCATCAATCTGAAGAACGCTTTAATGATGCGAAGCAGAACGCTTGTTGGTGCTATAGGGTTCGCTGCATTGTGAAAGGGTTCTTCAGACTGATGGAGAAGGCACTGTAGACCCTTTTTCAAAAGGGTTCTATATAGCTCCAGAAAAGTTTGTATCGTAACAGTAACAGAACCCATTTTCAAAAAGGGTTCTTTTTAGAACCATATACAGCACATTCTCCATCAGTCTGAAGATCAAGAACCCTTGAATCATGCAAAGGGTTCTCTGAGTGTTCATGGTTCTAATAGAACCATTTTCTTTACTAAAGAACCCTTGAAGAACCATCTTTTTTAAGGGTGTCTCTGCCAGCTTAGAAGCTCACATACATTGTTTATGCTTGTTTCGGCTGATCCACCTTTTAATGACGGCACGCCTCTTTTGCACTGACCAGCGGCGCAGTGTGTTTGTCCACAGAGCTCGGCCGGCTGCCCTGTGCCCAGTATCAAAAGTAAAAGCACTAAAAGATTAATTATGACTTTAATGTCCTGTTATCATTTTTATAACAAGACTCGCTTCATTAACTCATTTTAGGTGAAAATACTCCAGTGTCTCTCTTGGTAAACCAGTCTTTAATAGAGTCATTAATTAGTGACGCTGATGTCTATTAAAATTATCATAAGCACAAAACACTGAAGGCAAACAGTTTCCATCAGGTAGAACTGAGTGGCTCTGAAATCACTTTTACAAACAAGCAAAGTTTCAGTTTAAGATTTATTTGAACTTAGTTACAAGTTTAAGTTTAATAAAAACTTTAAACTCAGATTCACAAATGAGTTTCCTTTACTAAACTGCATCTGTAGGTCTCTGTTCATAAACATAAACTAGCCTAAACTAATTTACTATAAAATGAAATAGTGTTTGTATAAATTCAGAAAAAGTTACGTTTTTATTCACACATAAACCAAAAGGAGCGACAGATTTCTCATAATGTAGTGGAGTAAAAAGTGAGATATTTGACTTTGAAATGTAGTGGAGTGAAAGTAAAAAGTCACCAAAATGGAAAAACTTCAGTAAAGTACAGATACACGAAAAAACTACTTAAGTACAGTAATGAATTACATTTACTTAATTAATGTCCGCCACTGGTCTTTTGTTGCACTATGTTGGTTTAGAGCTGGGCGATATGACAAAAATATAATATTGTGATACTTCAAGAAATTTTCACGATAGACGATATGTCACAATATTTATTTTTTCAGACAGCTGATCAGTTGGAACAGAGGAAATAAAACACATTTTAAAAATACTATTAAAGCACAGTGATTTTTACTCAATATTTTTCACTAAATCCAGTTAAACGGGACTAATTTTGCTTGCTTTGTAATGAAACATGCAGTTGGTCAGTGTTTAACTGACGATCTACACAATATGTTCAGAAAAGCACACTGTATTGTGTTGTGACATAATTTATCACTATAATGATATATATTGTCATATTTCCCAGCTCTGTGTTGATTTAAGACACCCACAGAAACTCATCTGGGACTGTGATTGGTTAGAGGGCTCATTTGCATATTGTAGCCTTCTGCCATATCAGTATTGCAAAGGTTTGTTTTGCAATAACAGCATCTGTGTCACATTAAAAGGGGAATTCCACCCTATTTTCAAAATTTCAGCATAATAAGGTGCTGATGATACTAAAAAAGTGATAAATCTGAGAAAATAAGTTTTCTATGGGGACTATTTTGCCTTAAAACACCTTGCATGTATCCCTCCATCATGAATGGATTTAAAAAAATGGTCCCCTGTTAGTGCTTTACAGGTTCTAAGCCTGTCTTTAAGTAACATTCAACTAAGTATCAATTAAATGCAACTTTAAGTTGAGTGTGAAAGGTTCTATTAAATCTAACCCCAACCTTAACCTCAACACAAGCTTACACCTGCTTCTAAAACTAACCCTGAGCCTAATGTTGTTGATTTTGTTTGTCATCAGAAATCAGTCTGTTAATAATTTAGGTGTCTGTAGATCATCTATAGGGGACCATTCAAATACATAAAACAGTGTCTCAGTCATCAGGCAGTGAATTCATAACCATTTCATGTAGTAACTTTCTGTGAGGGAGCTTTTAGAGGTGGACGTCTGGTTCCTATCACCACCACTGTGAACAGTTCTGACTCTGTAAATTAATCTAGAACGGAACATTTCACGCTAGAGCTGAAAGATTTGGGAAAAATAACTAATCGCGATTTTTCTAATATTGTGAGTTTAGTTACAATTATTTTCTATAAATTAAGGTTCAGGCCTGTTGTTTTTTTGCCCAGTAGGACCAGAATATCCACTTTTATAGGCTTGGGGCTCGACCCCTGAATGTAGTCAGCCAGACTGCCAGTAAGTCGTAGTTGTGATGTCGCCACACATGGAGGTTTGGTTGCCTCTGATTGCTCTAACTCATCTACAGGCATTTCACAAGCTCTGTGTTATTAGGTTCAAATTTTGCCACTTAAAACCTAAGACAACATTTGTTGATGTAGACCAGGGGTGTCCAAAGTCCGGCCCTAGGGCCGAATGTGGCCCGCGGATCGCTTTTACTCGGCCCTCCAGCCTGTACGCTGCAGCTGTTCCTTTCACTTGACGGTGGCAGCAGTGCTGTAAACCTGCGATTAATCTTCAGTTAACCTGCAAATGAATTACTGAATGACTACACACACACAGTGCAGCTGACAGTGACAACTGACAGTTTTAAGAGTGATGGAACACTTTTTCATCGAGAACCGTAACAAATGCGCGTCTCAAACGTCACGAGAATGTAATGAGTTTAATATTAAAGCACATTATGTAACCCAGCATGGATGTTACAGCAAATATTCAGAGGACAAGAAGAAAAAAACGAAAGCAGCTTTTTATCAGAGCAAATTCAGTAGTTTGTACTATAAACATTACTTGTTCTGTCGCCCTTCTTGCTGTGCGGCGACAGTGCAACCCGCTGTGCCACCATGCCGCCTTATTCAAAGTCATTTATGAATAATATTTTGGAATGACAGGCCCTCAGGTTTCCTGATAAGGTCCATTCAGGCCCCCTTCGAAAAAAGTTTGGACGCTGCAGATGGAGACCATAATATAAAAACTGCAGCTCTTGCACTCTTAAATTACAATTTTAATATAGTAATGATTATTTTGAATACTGAATATTTAAAGTCACACACATCTTCTAAACCACTTATCCTTCTGGGTCTCAGCGAAGCTGGAGCCTATTCTAGCAGTTATTGGGCAGAAGACAGGAAACACCCAGGACAGACAGACATGTACATTCACACACACACCGAGGGGCAGTTTAGCATCTCCAATTGGCCTGACTGCATGTCTTTGGACTGTGGGAGGAAACCCACACAGACACAGGGAGAACATGCAAACCCCACACAGAGAGGGCTCTGGTCGCCTGGCCGGGGAATCGAACCCAGGCCTTTCTTGCTGTGCGGTGACAGTGCGACCCCCTGCACCACTGGCCGCCTCATTTAACCTTCTATTGCACGATGTTGCCTCAGGGCAACAAACTCATTTTCCTCACTTTACAATAACATTATACATATTTAAAGACCATAATAGGTTAACAAGAAAGGGAAGAGTTTGAATAAGTGAATAAAAAGCATGTACTTGGTCATACTATCTCTTAGTGGGCACATTTAAATCTCTTTTTAACGTTCAATATTATTTTTTTGTTTTGGAGAGAATTTGCAGAAATATGTTTGTTGCCTAGGAGCAACACTGTGTGACAGTGAAATGGATTTAGCCAATCACAAGCCAGGTTTCCCCACTTCAGGGAACACAGCTGTATGTCATTTCTTCCTACTGTCTCACAATGTTGCCTCAAGGCAACATACTCCAAGAAGATCCCTGCACAATTTTTAAAAATGTTTTGAATTTAATAACCGGGACAGATTATTAATAATCATTCTATATTATTTTGTAATTATATAATTTAATAATCAAAGACTTTTTTTCATGCAAAAAAGTGAGGTTATTAAATTGCTTTCATAATGCATGCAACAGAGGGTTAAAGTCGTTTATGAATAATATTTTGGCAAGGAGTGACTGTCCCTCAGGTATCTTGATAAGGTCCATTCAGACCCCCTTTGAAAAAAGCCTGGACGCCTCTGATGTAGACCATAATATTAAAAAATTGCAGCTCTTGCAATTTGAAACTTGCACTCTGTTAAATTGTGATTTCAATATAGAAACGATTAATCTTTCAGCCCTGTTTCACACTCGGAGTGACTCTGTTCACATGTTAACCGTTTAATCATGCAGAAATTTGGAAAAATTGGTGGAATTTCCCCTTTACGAAGAGAAACATCGGGTTTGTGCCGTTTCATCCCTGTGCTGTGAACGTGGCCTGATCAGAACCCTTGAAATCCGTGACACTTCTGCTCCTGTTGGAGGGCTGAGTGAGTGGGAGGTTCCAGCACGGCTGCTGTTTAAACTTGTGTGTTACTCACTGCTGTTGAACCTTTGTTTTACTGCCTCAATGGAATGTGTCATAGGGAGTCATCAGTGGGCGGGGCAGGAGTTCTGTTGCCTAGATAAGCTAAGCACAGTAAAGGGAGTTGGTTTTTGTGCTGTGGTTTAACCTGTTTGCTCTACTGTTTTACATC